TATAAATTTTGAATAGAATTTTACTTGCTACATGCTACATACTACAAATGCAGATCAGTCTGGGCTCAGTTTATCTGTTAGTCGGGAACCGCCGATTAAAGCTTCCTTAATTGTTCAATTCCTAAGTGATGAAATGTTTATGTCGTCTCGGTTGTCAGTTCAATTGTTTGCAACGCAAACACTTGGCTTGGCTGCCAGCTCGGCCCATGACAAAGCACATTGCCCAGTTGTAAGTGACCTTTGTCAAGGCTGCCCTGATCCACTTGCACTTGAAGCGCAGATGCAGGAATATTAACTTCAATATAACATGCAAAATTCAATTAGTTTGCAACAATTGTGCCAAGCGCTAAAACGGGCCGGCTTCTTCCTGTTGTTGTTGTTGTTGTTGTTGCTGCTGTTGTTATTGTTGCGTTGACGCCTACGCGACTCAGTTAATTTGTTGTTGTTGTTATTCTTTGTTTCGGACATGAGACACGCTACTTTGCGTTTTTGGCTGCCAGACGGCGGCGGCAGAAGCGACATTGCTGCACTTTTGTGGCACGCAGCAGAATGTGGCGCACGCATAGAGACAGCTAGCTGAGAGTGCAAAAGAGAGCGAGCATTGCCATGTATGAATGAATAGCTAGTTGCGTGTAGGTATGTGTGTGTGAGTGTGTGTGTGTGTCGTAAGCCGAGATTTTTGGCGCCAAATTGAGCATGCAAAAAAGATCAAGCACGCTGCCATGCGTAATTCTGTTGCTTGCAAAATAACTAAAACGAGTTGAGCTCACGTGCCGTGACACACATACACTCACACACACAGGCACACATATGCACATAGACTGGCCCGCCTACACCCCAAAGGATTGCGTGTCATTTGTTTATAAACACATCAACTGAAACAACAACAACAACAATTGGCTGACGCCTGACGCCTGCTGCCGGCTAACCCAAAGCCCCAGTGCTGTCGACCCTTGACACCCATGCAACAGCAACAACAACAACAACAGCAACAACAACAACAATAGCAACCGCTGCTGCAGTTGCATCTGCCTGAATTTAATTTTTTAGCCTAGACTAAAAGTGCAGAGCTGCAGCTAGCAGCCAAAGGACACTGCGTCCTCTTTTTCGTGGGCGTCGCATTGCTTTTATTTTCTCCAATCCAAATGGCAGCCCTTGGGGCAATTTCTGGTTGCTGCCGCATTGTAATTTCTTTAAAAGCAATTCATTTCATAATGGGGAAAAAGGACGAAAAAAAAAAGGAGAGAAAGGCGAAAAATACATGAGGGAAATTGCGAGCGCTGACAGAAAGAAAAGCAGCCAAACGAAAATGGCAAAAATAATGCAGGAAAATGGAATGAAATGAGCGAAGCTAAATAAAAATGGAGCGGAGGTTGGGGCTAAGAATAGGTTGGGCTCTGCTCGCTACAATTCCTGCTAAACTTGTAGCCAACACACATACCACACCAGACCGGGCCAGACGCGACCCGACCAGCCCGTACCATGCCATACCGCACCGTACTGGCTATGCAGCTATCGTTTGCTCGCTAGGATTGTACGCCATTTTTAGCAGCGACCCCTCCCGCCCCTTGAGGAATACTTCCCCAAAGAACAAACTCAGCAGACAAAAGCTCTGTTTCTTACAGTTCGCTTCACTTCTTTCTTATTTTGTATACCCTGGAAAATTAGGTATAATGTTCCTCTTAAAGAGAATGTAAAGGGGAAGTTGAAGAAGGCGTGGTCGTCAATATAAAGTCTTTCCTTCTGTTCTTGCAATCGTTAACAATAATCGATATCTTTGAAGAACAATTACAGAATGGATATCATTGAATCCAGTGACGATATATAACGTGTATACACATAATATACGAATATCTGAATAATCTGATTTCAATGTAGAACTTTTTTACACTTTTGCTATATATGCATATGCAATCAAAGTCAAATCAGTAAAAACATAAGTCGAGGTATTTCCTAGACGAGCATGCCCCACTAGAGTACTCTTACTTGTTTCTTTCGAAGTACGATTGTTTCATTGTTTTGTTTTTGGGAGAGTTGCTTATAGAATTTATTTTATTACATGCCCTCCTCGCAGAGCGTCGCCTCTTGGGCTTTTTTTCTGCTGCTGCTGCTCCTGCTGCTGTTTGTATGTAGCTGTGCAGTCCCGTTGCCTTCTTATAGATAATAAGAAAATTATACATTTTATTCGACGGCCGCGTTGCAGGCGAATGCCGCAATGCCCTCAATTAGGAGTAGTCCTTAATTTGCTGCTAAGTTATTTGGTATTGTATCCCTTACGTTTTTCGCTTTCCGCTCTTCGCCTTTTGCTTTAGTATAATTTGCAGCCTTGACTCGAATCTCAAAATTCGGCATTTGAAATTGGGAAAGGCTCGAATTCAAATTGCATTCCAATGCGTCTAACGGTTTTATCATCGTCTCTGATCATACTCATAGCATATCAACTCATCTATATAATCACCCACTCCTTCAGCGATTTGTCGTTTATCCTCAGTTTCGTCTCTCTTTAGTCGTCATTTTCGGTTGTTTCGTTTTTCGTTTTTGCTCCATTTTTTCGTACCGCCAGACACCAATAATTTTCTAAATTCTGCTTTTTTGCGTTTCGCCTACTTCGTAATCGCCCCAAAGTTCTGAGCTCGCATTTAATTAAATTAATTAACGTTTATTTGCCATTTGCGGGACTTTATGGATTTGTATTGCGAATTTAATATTCCAATGATTCACAGTGGGCTTTTCAGAGTGTTCTCTATACTGTATGTTTATGAGACCGAGCCTCAATAAAGTACTCGAAATGACACACACAGAGGGAACTGGAATATTTGACAAATGTGCAGAGTAAAGAATAATTTTAGATAGTTTAAAACTTGAAAACTTGGAATTCTTTAGAACTAGTTGATAGTAGAAATATTAAGTAATAAATATTAATAAAAATAATTTGTTATCACTTTAAACTAGTAGACCTATTAAATTTCCATTAAGACAATAAATTATATTTGAAAACTTGACTCTATACTTTTACCTGAAGATCTTTCTAAAATATGAAGAATATGAATATGGAATTGATGTAGATCTTAGGAACATTAGTTTAAGGACTGAGAGCTTATCATTTGTTATCATTAATGACTCATAGTACAATAGGCCTGAAGATTGGATTATATACTTTTAACTGAAAAATATTGTTGTATTGAATGTGAAATTTATTTGGATTTTATTTTTTTTTTTTTTTTTTAATTTTCAGCAATGAAAAAATTATATTATATTGAGCCTAGTAGATATCACAAGGAAAATTTTATTTAACTCAAATATTAAGTTATTTTCATATTAAATAAAATAATAAAATAAAGCTCTAAAGCTCTAAAAATTATGATATAGAAACAAAATTGCACTGATTTAAGCCAAGTATATTTTAAAACATATTTCATATGTTATATGTTTGCTTCCAAGTCTAGCATTTAAATAAAATCCAACTCCAACTCCACGACTTGACTTCACAGTAAATCGTATCTAATTCGCTTGGCATTTGTATTATTTGCGGTATTTTATCGAGACTTCATGGTTGTAGAGCTTGTGAATATGAATGAATGATTCACTTGACTCATTGTCGTGTGTTATCTTTGGCGACAGCGCTGCATACCAAACGAAGTGCAAAACACACACGCCTCGCTCTGGCAGCCGGATCAGGTGCATTCTGCTGGGGATTGGAGGTCCTTTTGCAATTTGAGGTACATGTCGTCCTGGCGTTGACACCGAACGGACATGCCGCTGACAATTACGTGGAAAGCAGCTCAAAAAAGTGCCAAACGGCAGCTGAGGCAAAAAATGTCGAGCAATTAACTTAAATACATTTCAACTTTTTACGTGCAATCGCCCCACATAGTCCTGCTCCTGACTCCTGTTTGCCACATGGCCGCGTGCTCAGCTTAAGTGAGTCTACTCAGCGCGAGTGTGTATCGAAGCAAAAAGTTAAAAAAAAATTCAAGTTACAGCGCGAAACAATAAAAATGTTCAATGTACTTACAATACACAAAACACAAAAAAAAAAAAAAAAATAGAAAAACAAAAACAATATAAAAACGACAATTTTTAAAAGAGTCTAACGATGCGCAGTGGAGAGGGCAGGGAAGCGGGCTATGTGGGTTGACGTTGGCCCTGAAAGGGGTCGCTCATAAATTACAACAGTAATTATATTTAATAACCGCAATTAACTTAGTAATAATGTCAATGAAAATGATGAGACAAAATATGATTAAAAAGCAAACACAAACAGAAACACAAAAGCAACAACAACAATGAACAAGAGCCAAAGCAAAGCAACAGAATAAGAAATAAATATAGAATGCTTGCCAGCTATGTAAATCCTCATCAAAGTGGCAAATCCCCCGACTTTGAACGCTCACGGCCAAGATAATGCGGGCTTAAGCGAGCTGGATGCCCGAGGAGTGGACGGGGATCGCCAGCCATCATAAAAGACTCGGGCACTCTTTGCATTTATTGGCTTTATGGCTGGAGCTGGTTCCTGGCCGGTATCATATCACATACGGCATTTAGATTTACAATGGCTTTGGCCGGGATTCCTTTATGCTTTATGACATTTAATTGGACATTCAGATTAGCTGTGCTCCAATTTGTGGTGGGGCTTTATGATTTGATTCGCGGAAAGAGGCCAACAGATTGTTGTTATTCAGGCCCAATTTCGGGGGCTGTTTATGTAATTAACAGATCAAGTGGCCGTTCCTAATCGAGTGGCTATGCCCGAGTCCTGCTTGACGGCTGTGAGGGTGGTTTACCTACTACTACCTAATACCCATTATCCATTATTCTGGGGTAACTGATAACTGCAATTAATGTTTCTGACCTTTTCGTCCGTTTGCTGTTCTTTTTCCTATTCCAAGTTCACGCCGTCAGCTGCGTTTTGAAGGTTGACTCAACGTTTACATGCATGAAATTTGTTTTCATTTTCCACTCACTTTCTCTTTCTCTCTCTCTCTCTGTCTCTCCTGCAGCCTGAAGCCCCCGCCCAAGGATGGCGTCACTAAGAGCAATCCATCAAAACGGCATCGAGAGCGCCTCAATGCCGAGCTGGATCTGCTTGCCTCGCTGCTGCCCTTCGAGCAGAACATACTTAGCAAACTGGATCGACTGAGCATACTAAGGCTGTCCGTTAGTTATTTAAGAACCAAAAGTTATTTTCAAGGTAAGTACGGCTATCACTTTTAAGCAACTAGCGCTAAGAGGGTGGCTCTAGGCTAAAGCTGGCAGCTCCCATTCTTAACCTCTATCTCAGACCTCATCCCATATGGCGGACGGGCCGACGTCTTCTTCTTCTGCTTCTTCCTCTTCTGCCATACGGTGCGATACATTTCGGCCTATTAAATCGATTATGCTAGCATTGCCAGCGAGCGCTGCTGCCACTGAATGGTGGCAGACCCTAAACATGACTCATAAATGATTCAAAACTAATTTCAACGCCACAGTGGGGCGCCCTTTCCTCTCTCTCTCGCTCTCTCTCACTCGCACGTTGTCTATGTTTCCCTAGTCTTGATCCCTGCTCAGGGATACCCACGCACACACACACACACAGTATAAACACACGCACATGGCGAAATTAGTTCTGTTGACGGATTAAAGTCAAACTAGGAAAGAAACAAAAATAGAAAGACACGTTTCAGTTTCTGTTTTAGCTTTAGTTTGTTTTGCTTTCACTGAATAAATTTTCAGATATCAAAAACCTTGTATATTATATGTAGATATTATAGATAATATATAAGAAATTGCATTTTACATGCATATAATATAATGGATATTGGATATGTAACATACTTTCGTTATATAAAATAAAAGCGAAATTGGGATATTTTATATTGTGATAGAATATTTAGGACATTGAATTTTACATTTGTTCCATTTAGATGAATATCATTGCCATTAAAGAACAGAGTTTTTGTTTTTTTTATGTATATCGTATTATTTAAATTAGGTCGGGCTGAAATAAAAACAAATTCCGTCCTATCCTCATTTTTTTTACCCATAGTTTTTCAGACTTTTTTTTTCTTGGTTTTACCTTGGCAAACGAATTAAAGGTGAGCCCCGAACGAATAGGAAATGGAGAAATGGTAACATTTTTGGGGGGCCTGGTAAATCGAATCAGACAAATGAGCAACACACACAGAGACACACAAACTCACACAGTCACACACTCAAATATTGCCGCAAATGGAGGGGTTGTTTTTTGTTTCTTTTCGAAATTTTTAGCATAAGTATTTCGTGTTTATTTTTTGTATTTTTGTTCGTTTCTAATTTAAATTAATTAAAACAATGCAATAAAAGGAGAACGAACTTGGGCGCTTTGATGGCTTTATTATTGACTTAGTTCATTGGCATTTCGCAGTGCTTAACGACACAAATTTAATTGCCCTTTGTGGGGCTATATATGTATATCTATATAGTATATCAGGCAGATGAAGTGCCCGCTCTGAGCATTAATTAAATGTGAGTGCAAAATTTGTTGGGAAATTCGAATGAGGAACTAAGGACATGCCCGCAGACCCTTTGTGCGACATTTGTGACTCACGTGTCGCGTCCAGCTTTCTGGGCTGGGCTCATCCTGTGGCTGTGGCTGTCACTCTGGCTGTTGCTGTGGCTGTGGCTGGACACGGGCGAGCACTGAAAATAGTCGAGTAAATATTTTGACAATTAGCGGTCAAAACGCAGTTGGGCGTTAATTGCAATCGCAAACAGTTGCGACGGCCAGTTCAAGTCCGTCAGCCAGGACACGTGCCCCGTTGCAGTGGGCTAAGTCAATACATGATCCTAAGTTTCCTTTCATTAGAGGCCAACGACCACTTGGTTTAAAAACAGACACGCGCTGCGTTTCCTTTGCGCATTTGGACCGAACGACGACGACGACGGGTTAATGGACCAGAACCGTTGCGCCGTGTGCTCCCGTGAGTGCCCAGTGTCCTGTCTATACCCATACACACACACATACAGACAGACATGTCTTTGTACATCTAATGTTTGTCCGGAGGTTTGACAAAACGTCGCGGCACAGGTCAAAGTTTGTTTACGTTTTGGCTTTATTTGTTTGCCTAGATGTTTTTCGGATATTATCAGGATCATTTAATTTACAATTACTGCAGAGGCTAACCCCCTCCAGGAGCGTGTGTGCGTGGGTGTGGATGTGTGTGTGTGTGTGGGGTGAGCCTCGGCTTGTGGGATTTCGAAAACTTAAGCACTCAATGCAATTAATTGAAGCAGCCAAAAAAGGTTTAGATATACATATAACTATTTATATATAACAACAGAAAGAGACAGAGAGAGAGAGAGAGAGAGAGAGAGGGAGAGAGAGTGAGTGATGGAAAGGGCGAGAGTTTCCTATATAAAGCTCTGTTCTATGCTTATGTGCAAGTTCTTATGTGTGTGTGTGTGTGTGTATACACATTTAATGGCCCACTGGAGGGTTGCTCGCCAGACACCAAACGTCCTGCATCTATATAGGGGCAGTTGTTGACCCTGACTTGCGCAAAAGCGAAACGGCGAACAAGTTTTCTCTATACCAGAGGGAAAAAAATGGAAAAGGAAAAAAGAAATGAATGAAAAGCAAAGTTCGTTTTCATTTTCGCCAGGCTTGCGAAGCAGCTTTCCTATACACCTAAAAACTTGACGGCAACAACAACAACAACAACAACCACAACAACTCAAGCAACAACGACAGCAAAAAAGAAGCTAAATAATTAAAGCGCGCTGCTAATGGCCCATTGTCTTGGCCTGGCCCGAAGCTCCCGTCTGGTCCACCCACGCCATAAATGCTGGCCAAGCGTTGGCGCCTTATGGCCAGCAATAATTGTTAAGACGCGCAATTTGTACATTTTTAATGTACTCGTTACGTCTCTTTGGTCCTTTGCCATGGCCAGCTATCGCCCCACCCCCGCCTTGCCTAATTGATGAGTTGCGTAATTAACTGCAAAATGAACTCAAATGCTCTCATTGATAGTTTTGTTTAACCGTTCCAAATGCTGATTGCACGCAATCCAACCAAAACTCTCTCTATACAAGTCCCGCTCCCAAATGGGCCAATAACCAAATTGAACGTTAGCTCAGTCCTCCAGAAGACAATCGATATCATGATACCAAATATTATTCAAATTGGAATATATTACATACAAATTAGAAAATTTAATTTTCAGTCAACAAACGTATCATTCGTATATGTTTACTATGTTTCAATTATGTAATTTATGCAGAGGCGACAGAAATCCCATTTTGAAAATCGAATATTAATATATGAATTGGATTAATTATAAATCAAATATGATTTAAATTCCTAATATGCATTCATTTCAGTGACATATATTGATCAGAGATGAGAGAATATATACATTAATGTATACATTGATTACAATCTGAGCGGACTAAAGACAATGGATTAAGTTGTATAGTCGTATATTCATATATGACTTGGATTATTAACCAATCAAATATGCTTTAAGATCTTAAAATTCATTACAATAACAATGGAATATCGAATACTCATATATGAATTGGATTAATTACCAATCAAATATGCTTTAAATTCTTAAGATATGCATTCATTGCATTGCAGCGACATATATAGATCAGAGCTGAGCAAAGACAATGGCGACTTGAATAACTGAGAGACAAAGGTTGGCAATGAGTCGCAGTTGACTTTAGACGCTTTTGGTAATTGGAGCCAGGCAGTGGGAAAGCGTGGATTGCCAACCAGAGTTCCCACACGAGATTAAAATATGAAAAATATATAAAGTCTTGCATACATTAGTCTTGGCTTAGACCCGTAACAGATTCGCCAGCCAGTCTGGCTGGAAGGCGCTTATGCGGCGACTGGTTATTGAGATCTAGTTCTCTCTGAGCTCCAATCTCGTGGGAAGCGAGTTGCAATAGGCGCCGTGTGGCAACCTGCGAGCTCTGGCGAATGCGTCACATGAGCTTGGGCACAGCTTTTAGCTGTTTCAGCTCGGCTCAGTTCAGTTTCTTTTATGCTAACAAGGTCACCTGTCCAGGCAACGAAATTTATGCTTTCGATAGAGTAGGGCGAAGAGAGGGGGTGGAAAGTACGGTTGGGTCAGGTGCGGGTAGTTATGCTATTATCAAAATTGCCGTTAAGCGTTTGTTAATGGAGCTCATGGCCATGAGCTATGCGAATCGCATAGCCCAAGGGGCCAAGGCTCAGCTCTTAACCTATAAACATACTAAGCTCCGAGACTCGCCAATTTTTTCGTGCATATACATGACTTTCGTGCGTTGCTCCAGTTTAGGCCCATTAGCAGCCACGGAGGGGATGGATGATGGCTCCGCTAAAATCTATAGCCAGACAATGGCTCGCCCTGGCGCAGGCGGACATGCAATCAGTCAGGCAATGCACTTTAAATACGACTGTCCCACCTCGAGGAGGAAGGTTGAAGCCCACTATTGTTGTTGTTTTTATTGTTGTTGCTGCTGTTGTTGTTCTCAATTGTCACGCCGCTCGGCCGAGTTCAGTTTTGGCAAAGAGTTGAGGTCTAAAGCAAGAGAATGCGGCAGACAACATTGCGTGACTTACGTAGGTCGAATTTCCATTACCTCTCACTCACTCACTTGCTCTCTCTCTCTCTCTCTTTCTGTATCTCTTTATACTCTTAAACTATATTTTGCCCTATCGCATGCAACAAAAACAACAACAGGTACATTATCTAAAGGCCTAGTTCAATTTAAACCGGTTAAACACGCGTTTAAAGAACAGTAAAAATTCGAAATAAATTACTAATTTAAAAAGAATATTTCTATTTTAGAAGTTGTCTATTTTTGTAAATCTAATATTAATTGCAAGATTATTAATAAAGGAAGAACATAGATGACGAGAGAGGATGAATAGAGGATCAATGAGTTCATGGAATCGTTTTAGATTATTCAAGGCTTGTATACCAAGCTCTATAAGTGTTAATAGCATTTTGGAACAGTCTCTCGCAAAACTTCTATGTTTGTCTATATCGCCTTTCAGCTGCTCTCCTCCTGCCAGACATTGCCCAGCATTTTGGTGCCTGTCAGTTTTTCAAGCAGTTGAGCTGATGAGTTTGGCATTTCCATGACATATTTGCTTGGGAGCACGGAAAATATTTGCCAAAATGTCAGAATTTAAACTTTATTCATTGCTTGCGCCATGCCGTGCCAAGGGACACGCCCACCCATCACCCAAGCCCCCAAGCGAGCGACCGTCAAGCGCATAATTGACGCCATTTTGCAGCAGTCGTCGCAGCTAGCATCGCTGTCAACGTCACGACGCGACGCCTCTGCCGTCAGCGCCGCCGACGTCGCTGTCTTAGTATCTCGCTGCAGCAGTCGACGCCATTTTGCAGCCACAGATGCAGCCGAGTTACAGTGGGGCATTTGCCCATTTTTACTAGAAATTATCACCATTCTTGAAGGAAGATAAGGAATAGAGCATTACACTCCGAGGAGCACTAAAAACCTTTAGACTAATTCCTAAATAGTTTTTATACATTTGTAGTAAACTTGCCATAGCTCCATCTATGACGGATTCCCTTGCGGACTCTTGCATTTCAGCCCACTGTGCGACGTCGCTGCTATGTATCTTTCGGGTCGTCTGCGCGCACACTTTTCCGACGTCGCGTCGTCGGTTTTCCGACCTTCTTTTCCCTGGCCAGCATTGCGCTGTGTGTTGGGTGTTGGGCGTTGGGTGGCTGGGGGGTGTTTTGGCTTAGCCGTCGCCATTATTATGTGTATAGAACCCGGGACCCCGCCCAAAAGTTGTCCCGCCCCTGATACCGTCTGCATTGCGCGCTGAGATTTTGCGTTTTCCGCCTTGTCAAGATTTACGTTCATCCACCAAATGGACGACTACGACGAGGCAGTGGAGGCACGGCGAGGGGTTGGTGGTGGTGGATTTCAGCTTAAGCTGCAGCACAGCTGAAATGGCGTATTTTCTAAGCTCTGCAGCGAGGGCCAGTCGAGCAGTTCCACTGCGCACATATCAGGCTTATGCCAAGTACTCAAAAACTACTAAAGGAAACAAATATTAAACACGCCCTGAAATGGAGCCAGATTTGCGGCCAGTCCCTCAATCCCTTATCCTGAGTCAGTGGCCAAAGCTGAGCCTAATTAAATGTGTTTATGCACGTGAATAATTTAACCAAAGCAATAAAAGAGCAGAGAAATAAGGTAAAATAAAAAATATAACTGTAATAATAAGAAGTACAACAAGTCGCAATGTAAACTGAACCTAATTAAATTATGAATAATTACCACAAAATGTAGCTCTAAAAGGCTTTCGCAGCCATCGCACGCACATGATGCAATTTGTTTGGCCCGCATTACGTGAAAGCCAACGTTTTTGGCCCAGTGGTGGTGGGGGAGGCGCTCGGACAGCCAACGGAGGGTCAACTTTTTGTTTTATCGCACTTTCGCTAAAATGAACACTCTAACACACACAAGGCCTGCGGCACTTTTGTTAATTTGATAAAAAGCTAAAGCAGCGCACAGATTAGCCAGAAGAACCGAGCCGAGTCGAGCCGAACGGAGCCAGGTAATGGCCAAACCTCAGTACACTGGAAAAAAATAAATAGAACGTTAGTCAGCTGAAGTCGAAAAATATTTGAGCTATTATATAATATATATAATAAAATAAAAGAAATTAATTCTTGACATTTAGTAAGAGGGTCATATCAGGGGTTTGTCCCCAATTTACGTGAGAAAAAAATCTTAATTAGCAAATTTAATTATCTCTGTATGAAAATAATTTTTTTAGCATAAGCTTTATATGATTGCAGATGAAAATAAATGTACAAGAAAAATAAAGCTCAATAAACTAAAAATAAAATAAATATTCCTGACAATTAAGGCATATAGAGAGAGAGATTTATCCATAACCATAACAAAGAACATTAAGAAATTTTCATTTACTTTCTTCAAGCTTTACTTTTATATAATCAGCAAAAAAAACAACTTTTTATATAAAATATAATTATACATATTCATCTATTATTTAAAGCAGCTTGAACATAGAACTAACTCATATCGCTCAGTGAGCGTCTAGTTTTAGGGGTAGGCCTCAGCCCTTGGAGCTGCTAATTGAAATGAGAGACCCTGGAACTGTAACTGGACTGCGGTTGCTGTAGTCCTTGCTGTGGTCCTTGCTTTGGTCCTTGCTTTGGTCCTTGCTGTTGTTGTTGTTGTTGGTCCTAGTCCAGGGGTGGCTCGGACATTCGTCTTGCAGTTAGTCGTGGTGTAAATTAGGTTTTGGGTTTTATTCATTCTTCATATTTTTTGTTTTTTGTTTTTATTTCACTCTCATTTTTATTATTTCCATTTGCGCTGATAAAAATCATAATTTATGACATCAGCTGCCGTGGCATATTTTATTTCAAGTCGCATATAAATTTGCTTATAAACTTTGTCCCGAAAACCAGAGACAGAACTCACTGAAATATATATATTAGCTTCAGTTTTGGTCGTTGGACGCCATTTTATTTTTTGGGTTTTTCTCTTTTCTCGGCTTTTTTTTTTTTTGTATTTTTCGTTTATCGCGCATAAATCAATTTTTGTGACAAATTTATTATAAAACTTTAGACGCAGAGGAAAGTATGTAACGGGAAAGTCCCCAACCCCCAAAATGGCGACTGCCTAAGGGTGTTTGTCTAGGGGTGTGTGTGTGTGTGTCTGTGTGTGGAGATGGGGGTCTAGCGATAGTATGGGAATGAAAGCTGGTGCCAGGCGCTGGCTAGGTTAGAGAAACAGAGTGTGAGAGAGAGGTGGAGCGGGAGCTGGAGGGGAATCTCATAAAATATTACAATGACACCATAAACAATTTTTAGTACTTTTCCATGCCAGCTGTAAATATTTATTGTATATTATGGTCGACTATATAGCGAGTATATACATAACTATATTGGATTTTTATGAAGTAACTATGGTATCCAATTGGTAGGAACCATGGCTGCAACTGGGGCTTGGGGTCTGGGGTCTAAAGCGTTTTCCAGCGGGCTTATTTATGGCCCAGCAATAGGACTAAAATATTAATGGTTAATAAAATATAAAAATTTCGAGCTCATAAATATTTAAGCTCTCTTGCTATCTCTCTCTCTCTCTCTCTCTCTCTCTCTCTCTTTCAGTTCATTTCTAATAGTCACTCTCTTTCTCTTTGCAGTTGTTATGCATAAGGATAAGGAGGAGAACGGTGTCCTGCCGCACATACACGCTCACGATGGCTACAGAACCCGTGAGCTGGGCGCCTTCGAGCACGGCCTGCTGGACGGTGATATGTTCCTGCAGGTGAGTCGCAACTGCTACACCACACCGCCACCACCCCACCCCACCCCAGCTGAACTCACCTGAGTCCGACATCACCCTCACCGTTTTGCTTAATTTGTCTTCATCAATTTGTTTGACCATTTGATGGCTTCATCGCCAGGATATGCCGCATAATCAATCAGCGCTTGTTTAGCTAGCAGAGGGAATGTTTTATATGTAATAATGTAGAGATGTGCATACATATATATGTATGTATGTATGGCTAGCATATGTATTCGATTGATAAATGATTTGTCGTGTCACGCAAAGCTTCGGCTTGTAGATTCTCTTAAATTCTGATGATTTGCTTTTGAGTATAGAAAAATTGAAAATTGTTTAACAATTGAATGCAATTAGTCTCCTCGCTGCTGTTGTTGTTGCTGTTGTTGTTGTTGATTGTGGCTGCATTCAATTGATTGAATGTGTAATTGGCGCTTAGACATGTGTTACCATAATATTTATAATTAATTTTGGGCCAGTTGCACTTCAAGTTTATGTGCCACGCGCTGAATTGCTCAAACTTCAATTAAATTGTCTCACAAACACACACACACACACACACACACACACACACACATGTTGCAAGTTGCATGTTTTTGCTGAATTAAAGCGCTTTTGTGGGCCGCCGTTGCCGCTTGTGGCCAGGCGCGAACATATGCACTTGTCACACTCATGACAGTTTAATTTAATGCACACATAGCTCAGCCGGTCAGAGCTAGGCCAAGGGTGCAGAGCCAGGGGCAGAGGCAGACAGTAGCCAAACTGCGGAGTCGGAGGCACGCAATTGTGCAACATGCGCTTTATGCAACTTTTTGTTGGTTTTTGTTGTTGCTTTTCTATTTGCTATTTTCCTATTTCTTTCTTCGTGTGTGTGTTTTTTGTTTTCGGCTGCACTGCACAATTCAATGTCAAAGTCTGCAAACCGGCAAAGCCACACCCCCTTTAGGGCCCATTAGATGCGTTTCGCATGAGAAAGAAAATGAAATTGCAGCAAAATAAAAGGTGTTTAAAACACTTCACTTAATATTTGAGACAGATTGAATGAGTTTTAGCAATCTATGCTGAGCTCCGATGAGGGATCTACAACGATCTATCTGATTCATCTGATTTTTCGATCCGTAGAGGGTTTTTGAAAATTATTAGCGAACAAGAAAACAAATATATATAATATAAAATATAATTAAATATAAACATTTAATATAATATTTAATCACATATAAAATAATATATATCTCATTTCATAAAAATGCGTTTTCTTTATTACCCTGGTCTTTCATGGCGTATTACTAGACCATAGACAAATTCTTCCCTACCGATGATCTCTATACTAGATCATTTTACGCTTATGATGTACTCAAATTCCATGTTGATAATTGTATATAGAATTCCTACGTTTGTCCATCTGAATGCATATCGATTCATTACTAATGAAATTGAGGACTAGAAATTTAAAATACAGTTTTACTCTCTTTTGGATTAATCATCTATGAGAATTGCAAGAAAAAATAGAAGTGGATGATCAAGATGGATCTCGCCTGTACATTACAAAGTTATAAGCTACATATGTGTATATGGTTTCTAATAGTTGATCTCTTCGAAGTGGCTCTAAATATATATCTCTTTTCGTCAGTTTGAACGAGTATTCAGCAGTCGATTGCACGAGATTCCAATTGCAATAGACTTCGGGCAGGCTAATGTGTGAAGACCGTCGTAAGCATATGCAAAACATAACAACAAAAGGAAAAGAAAAGAAAAACTGCATATTGCACTTGGCATAGCCAGCTGACGCCTCTTGCCACATGTCGCGCGCGCATGGGGCAACGCAGCTGCAGCACGTATACGCAGAGTGCACATCAGGACACGGCCAGGAGGACTCGGGCGAGTCGTGTGTCTCCTTGCAATTTGAATGCAAGCCAAAAACTTGTTGTTTTTAGTGTGCTTGGCTGGCCTTCCGGCCCTTCCGCATGGGCGAAGTTCAGCTAATTGCCGAGCTGCACAATTGTGCATTTCCGTGCATATTTTTGAGCAGCGCAGAGAAGGGCGCTCGGGTGGTTGGCTGATGGGCGTGAAGGAGGGGGGAGGCACGAGGGAGGTGAGCGGCTGTTGCATATTTAGTTTTAATAGCTTAGGTATTTGTTACCTGTTGCCCGTTTCAATTGCTCATGAAGTTTTTCTTTTGTTGTTGCTGTTGTTGTTGTTGTTGTTGTTTATTATGGGTCACATATTATCATTAGAAAATGGCGTTTTGTCACGCAGCGCAGCTCATGCACATGCAGCCATCTCCCTTGCACTCACACAGCCGCCGCTACCGCTCTTGTTACCATTGTTGCTCCACATTTGCAACAGTTTTGGAGCGACTGTTGACACACATTTGCAGGCAGGCGGCTGCGAAAGCGGTTTAATTAATTAAACTTGGCGAAATAAAGACATTGATTTTAAAGCAGCCAAAGCAACAGGCAACAATTGAGAGGGAGACACTAAATAACAGAGCAAGAAACTGAGTGCGAGTGAGAGTGAGAGAGCGATAGAGAGGCCGTCCACCTGGCGTATGCGCAATAGCAATAGAATTGCTGCTGGCAAAAGTTAGCTGTAATTTGAGCAGCTTCCTTCGCATTTTATTAAGCAATTATCTGCCAGGGGTCCCAGTTGGCTAGCTAGCTCATCTGGCCAAGAGACAAGTTGGCCAAGGGGTCAGCTGGCAGCTCTTCGCCAAGGAAATGGTAAAATAATCGCTGCCAACTTATCAAAACACAAAACAGTAATGCAAGCCGACAATCAAATGAAAGGCTAGATACAAAATGTATATTAAGTAAGTATATATATATATATACATTTTTATATACGTATATACACTTATACATATATTACATTCGTGCGTCTGCCGCGTTGCTGGCTGTGCCGCACAAGACGGGCGTGTATTATTAAAATCGCATTAGAAGACGCCGCTGCCTCAAAGCACATCAACTGCTGCGGACAGCGCGGACAGTTGGCTCGTATAAACTGATGCACAGACAGACGCAGATTTCAGATTTCAGGGGAAGCATCAGCAACAGCAGAGAAAAAGAAAGCGAGACAGCCACACAGTGCTATTAGCGAAAGAGAGAACGAGAGAGCGGGACAGAGAGTGAGAGACGGCTAAAACAATTAAGCTGCATAAAAGAAATCTCGCTTGACGTAGGGTTATTTAGTCGAATTCAAATACTCTTTCAGGTATATTGCTTTCAAGCAAAGCAACACAAAAACACAGCGAAAGAGAGAGTGAGAGACTACCGGAACAAAATATTTACAGTTGAATCCGTACACGGCTCCGTAGCGTCCGTGCGGTCGTTGCAACGAAAATTCTGGTCCCCAGTCGAACTTATATGAGCAACCTTATACGGTTAAAGCTTCTTCCAGGATAACGTACCTTAAGCGACGTTATATGCGGACTCTGCTCTATATTTATGCACATATGAATCAAAACATAGCGGAAGAAGGAATTAGGGTACTGGTCACACAGATGTAATTTAATTATGATACATATGTCCTGAGATTGGTCGCGTCTAAACCTTTTCCTAGTATACCGTACCTTTGGAATTTTATCTCTAATTTTTGGCAACTGAAGATCTCGATTTATATTCCTAATGTATCAAGGGGCTTCGTAGATCTTACTTATGGTTTTTGCCTGTAAAACACTCTGTTTTTTGGGTTCCTCTTGGTAGAAATTCCATACGATTGGATGTTATAGAAGGGACTAGAAGTTGCCTAAAACTATAAGACTGCAAATCTCGCTTATCTTGTGTTTAAGACAAGGAAAAACTAGTATTAATTAGTCGAATAATGCACATTCCTTTCAGAATTACAAGCATCGAAATTTTTTGATGTTTGCTAATATTTTTATCGTATATACACTTATTCCTAATTATTCCTATGCAAAGGCTGTGCAATAGTTTAGCAGAAAATCATCAGCCATTCAAATGCCTAGCAGCATGCCTTTGTTTATAGCTATAGAATCTCTCTCTCGCTCACTCTCCGTCTATTGCTATCCTTGTCTGCCGCACTGCAGCTACTGTTGGCAATCTTTATGAAGATTATTGATGTGCTGCCGCCGCTGGCTTGACGACAATCGCCACAGCCGCAACGATGCAGGCAACGAGGCACAACTTCAGATTTATATATATTTATATCTACATATCCATATCCATCTCCATATGCATATCCATGTCCATCCCATATCCACATCCATATCCTTTGGCGGGCTGTGTTGATGCGTTTTAAATTATGACGCCACTTAGTGCTTATGTCGGCTAATACCAGCTCTGGCAACACACCGGCCGTCTGCCTCATATTGTTTCTGCTCTGCTCTGTAATTAGCAGCAATCGCGCGCATTTGTCTCAACCAACTGCGAGGATGGAGCCAAGCAGGAGTCGTCACTGCTACTTCTGCTGCTGGTGCTGCTGGTGCTGCTGCTGCTGTTGTCGCTCCTTATTCTTGCCTCTGTTGCAAATTGATATTTAAATACGCTCATATTAATTACAGTTGCAGTTTCGGTCCGTCTTTCTCTTTATTAATTAACACCGCGCCGTCCCCTCGACGCTAATAAGAGCTTAAGCAAATTTGTCTTCTGAAACACACACGTTTCACACGATGCTATTAAGGCTCTAGTAAAATATGCAATATACCATATTATAGTATATAATACTACAATATTATTAGAAATATATCTGTATTTCGATTCAAAGTCAACGCACTCCATTTTAGCCATGTTTATACAAATGGCATGAGTGGCGCCCATTAGCAGCCTATCAAAATGATATATAAAACAATAAACCACTTCGCAATGAAGATTACTATCAAAATCTCTTCCGCTCGCTTACAGTTTTGCATTCATATCTTTGCTTTGTTCACACCTATTCCTGAAAACCTTCTTCCCTGTTGCTGCTGGGCCGACAGTCTATTGATAATTACAATGCTCCATTGCTCGATATGAAACCTGCAATTAAGCAAGAACAACAATGAGGAGTCAGCGAGGAAGCAGTACCCCTTGCCTGAGAGGGGGCGAGCAGGGGCATACATGAGAAAATGGACTATACTTAAATAATTTGGTGAGGTAAAACAAATGCTTGTAGCGAACGTCGGCGTCAGAGTCTGCATTTAGTTGAAACTCATTGATTTAATTGCGCATCATTTCCTGGTTCAGTTTGATGTGGAACTTCTAAGTCCCCTTTCCCGTCTCTATAGCTGTCTTTGTCTCTGTCTCTGGCTGCAATGAAATGAGCCCGCTTAAGCGCTGATTACGTTTTGGCCTTAAGTTAACGCCGCTCTTTCTGACCCTCGATCTTCTCTCTCTCTCTCTCGTTCTCTTTGTCTCTCTGTCTGTGGTTCATTCACAGTTTTTGGGTCTACATCTAGACCGCGAAATGATGGATTAATCCATTCAAAAAACCGGCAGCTACTACAATTACGAGACGATTCAGCCCCTTCTGCCGCTGTCTGTAACTCCGATACACCTTCCTCCAATGCTCTATCTCTCTCTTGCTTTGTGGCTCTCTATCGATTTTCTGAAAGTTATCTTTAGCTGGTCAATTTGACAGTCGCTTGCTCCCAATCGTTCCCTCAAGCAACATTTATTTCGTAGTTTTGATTTAATTTTTGTTTTGCTCCCTCTTTCAGCGTCCATCTTTTGCTCTCTCTCTCTCTCTCTCTCTCTCTCTCTCTCTCTCTCTCTCTCTCTCTCTCTCACTCCCTCTTTGTCTCTCTTTTTCGTCTATTGCAAACAGTTTGACTTTTTCTTTATATTCTGTTGTATTTTCTTGTTCTTGCAGGCTCTAAATGGATTTCTAATGATACTGACATGCGAAGGCGAGGTCTTCTTTGCCACGCACAGCATCGAGAGCTATTTGGGTTTTCATCAGGTAAGTGGACAAGAGCAAAGACGCCTTCTGGGGTGGCTGAGGCATCCAATCTTTTTGATTGATTTTAATTGCCCGAGGCTAGCCGGGAGTTTCTTTGAATGATATCAAGTGCTACTTCTTCTTTTCATTCTTCTTTTTTTTTTGGGTCAAGCTCATTGCGTAAATTGGTAACAGCACTCAGTTTAGCCGCTCATAGCGCTCAAGTCTATTCAGTTCCGACCAATAGTTGAAGGCAGCACCTCTATAATTATAAAATCAATCGAAACTTGTTAGAATGGCTGCTTGGCTAAAATATTTGCCCCCGGCTAAATTCAAATGTAGTAACAAATTTAAATACATACACCCCGGGTCATAAAAATAGCAGTAGCTCTATTATGTATACGCGTAAATAGGCTCTTATATATGTATTTCTTTTTCTATAGGGAATGAAATAGACTGGGAATGCCTAACATTTGGTGAATACAGGAATATAGAGTATAGAAACATTGGAAAATCCTCTTCTCTGCTGGAAGATCTAGTACCTTATGGAGCAATGAAAAATTTAAAATATTTGCATTTATTTACATATTAAATTGATTACATATCAAATATTTAAATCCTATTTCGAGTTATACTACGCTCATCCTTGAAGGCAATTCCTTGAAATGTTCATGAAGAAGTTCGGGGAGAATTTGAATTTCCTGGGTACCTTATCATATACTACTCAATCATTTGGAATACGAAGTCAACTATTTTGTCGAGCAGTGTAGCTTAACGCGATCGACGGCTGTCCAGTTGAAGATAGAGAAGGATAGCTTAGTCTGTTCCCCATCCCTACACATGCACATAAATACATAAATAAATCCTCGTCGACTGTTGCATACATTTGCTCAAAACTCGTATACCCTGTTGGCGCGTTATCCATGGTTTGAGGGTATAATTTTGAAGGTGCCACACAGCAGATGCCACCGATAGCCAGGCGCGGCAGCACGACGGTAAGACTGAACGACGGCGTGTTGCGTGGCAGGTTCTGTGGCCATAAATAAAAATCAGATCAGCGTGAGGATTGCGCAATCGCAAATACCACAAGATTTGCTTACGCAGCTGTCAAAGGCAGCGGGCGAGGGGGACCCTTCGCACAGGGCGTGGCATTGTGTGTTGTGCATTGGTATTATTAACTTGCGACGCCTCTGCAGCTGTGCGACCAACTGCCCCCAAACGGGCCAACATGTTTTGGGCCTAACTCGAGAATCCAGTGGCTGCCACTACCTGCTGCTGCTGCTGCTCCTGCTCTCGCTGCTACTCCTGCTCACCGCGTCTGCTTCACCGCAACGCCCCTTTCTGCCCTATTTGTATTATTTTTTGTTTGCCTACTTTATTGTATTGGCGCTTGTCGAATGGAAATTGAAAATTTTCAGTTAGCTTTCTTTGGGCCTAAGGAGAGGGGCCTCTGCCTGCCTTGCCTCGCCTCGCCCCTTGCCCCTTACCTTCTCCTGCGCCATCGCATTTTAATTTAGTTGTAAATGTGTAAAGCGGCATTTGACACGCCCCGTTTGGCAGCTCAATTAAAAAACGTAGCTGCCTATTACCATGGCCATTGGCCATCGGATTGCTGCTTCTTCTTCTTGTTCGAGCGCATTCAAGTATATTCCAATTGAGATTGCGGTCAAATCATTTGCTTTGTTGGTTTTACTTGCGCACAGATGTACAGATGTAGAAAGTTTTGGCTCTCAGTTCCTCCAGTTCCTTACTGAAATGTGGGCTATGCGCTAGAGATGGGTGCGTGCCTATCGTGATTTCTTCTTTTAATAAAATTCAATAAGTGCTTGCAACATCCCCCAAGTTAAAAGACAGTTTGGGTCACTGCTAAAAGCAGTTGGCTTAGCTTATGAAAAGGACAGCTTAGTGGTAACTAATGTTAGCTTGGAGCTCAGTTTTATGTTAACTAACAGTTCTGTTATGGCTTTACATTTTGAGATCTGTTATGCAATTAAGAGTTTAAAGGGTACTCAAGCCACTCGGAATCCGACAAAGAGTAGCTTGACGATGACGAACACGAATTTGACACGACTTAACTGCTGCCTGTGCGTGCCTGTCGTGCTTATCGTGCTTTTCTTTTTTATAACATGCAATAAGTTCATATCAGGAGCCCAACCTCACGGCTTACCACGACCCGTGCTCCGAGAAAAACCTAAGCTCACTGTCCATCTGACCTCACGATGAGCTACGATAGCTTAACACGAGCTCAACACGACTCAGCTCTTCCTCCCGCTCTGTCGTGCTTTAAGTACTCACGATACTTCACGACATTCATTGATCATGTGAATATTAAAGCAGAGCTAGCATCACTTGGCACGATGAAGCTCGTTCTTGTGCTCGTGCTCGTGCTGATGTTTTGTCGTGCCGATATATGCTCACGCATCGCAGCTCTGGGCGCACAGCTGTCTTCCGATCCTCTTCCCGGCGCGTGCAGAATTTATGTCTCAATTTGTGGCCAACATGGGGCGCATTTTCAATTTGCGCGCATTTTGATTTATACGCCCGAAAAAAGCAAATCAAACCAAGGCAGAGGCCCAAAATTAAACGCGAAAGCGAAAATCAATAACAAAGTTGACTGAACCCCAAGAGACAATAATAATAATAATAAGAAGAAGAAGCAGTATAAGAAGAAGACGAGATGAGACCAGAGCCTAACCAGCCAAATTTTCCCATCCTCCTTTCAGTCGGACATTGTGCATCAGTCGGTTTACGAGCTAGTCCACTCGGAGGATCGCGAGGAGCTGCAGCGCCAGCTGCTCTGGAACAGCTTCCTGCCCGCGGACATGTCCAGCATGCAGCTGGCGGAGACTCTGGCGCCGGACAAGGCGCTCTACCTGGAGCGCAGCTTCACTGTGCGCTTCCGCTGCCTCCTGGACAACACGTCCGGCTTCCTGCGCTTGGACATTCGCGGCCGCATCAAGATACTGCACGGCCAGAACCGGAAGACGGAGGAGCCGCCACTGGCGCTGTTCGCCTACTGCACGCCTTTCGGCCCGCCCAGCCTGCTGGAGATACCGCACAAGGAGAACATGTTCAAGTCCAAGCACAAGCTGGACTTCTCGCTGGTGTCCATGGACCAGCGGGGCAAGCACATACTGGGCTATGCGGACGCCGAGCTGGTCAACATGGGCGGCTACGATCTGGTCCACTACGACGACTTGGCCTACGTGGCAAGCGCCCATCAGGAGCGTAAGTAGAGTAGAGGTGCACCAAAGTGCCAGGCCCAATCCTAACCCCATCCCATTGCAATTGCAGTGCTGAAGACCGGCGCCTCGGGCATGATCGCCTATCGCTACCAGAAGAAGGACGGCGAGTGGCAGTGGCTGCAGACCAGCTCGCGGCTGGTCTACAAGAACTCCAAGCCAGACTTTGTGATCTGCACGCATCGCCAGCTGATGGACGAGGAGGGCCACGATCTGCTCGGCAAGCGCACCATGGACTTTAAGGTTAGCTACCTGGACACCGGCCTGGCGTCCACGTACTTCTCCGAAGCGGACCAGCTGGTGGTGCCACCCACCAGTGCCAGTGTCTCGCCCACGGCGCACGCGCTGCCGCCGCCGGTCACGCCCACGCGCCCCAATCGCCGCTACAAGACGCAGCTGCGCGACTTCTTGTCCACGTGCCGCAGCAAGCGCAAGCTGCAGCAGCAGCAGCATCAGCAGCAGCAGCTGCAGGCACAGCAGTCGTCGCCGTTGGCTCAGGTGGGCTCGCCCGCTCCGGCGGTGGTGGAGTACCTGCCGGATCCTGCGGCTGCTGTGGCGGCCGCCTACTCCAATCTGAATCCCATGTACACCACGTCGCCATATGCCACCGCCGCGGACAACCTGTACATGGGCAGCTCCATGCCGGCGAATGCCTTCTACCCGGTCAGCGAGAACCTCTTCCATCAGTATCGGCTGCAGGGCGCCGTTGGCGTCGGCGGCTACTACACGGATTATCCGCATACGGGCGCGCCGGCCTCGGCGTACGTGGCCAACGGGTTCCTCTCGTACGACGGCTATGCCATTGCCTCCAAGGCGCAGGACGAGAAGTGGCAGGAGACGGGCAAGTACTACAGTGGCTACAGCAGCGGATACGGCAGTCCGACGTCCACGCCGCAGGTAAGTCCCCCAGGGAGCAGTAACTCGCGACGGCTTGTATCGAACTCAATCTCTTTGAAACCACAGCAGATTCCGCTGAAGACGCCCAAGTCCTCGCCGCAGGTCATGGAGGTTATATCCTGCTCCTCGGACGGTCCCTCGCCCGTGGGCGTTGCCAATGCCACGCCCAACGGCAGCAGCGTTACGCCCAAAGTGGAGCTGTCCGCGACAACGGCCACTGCCGTCAGCCAGGATCCCTACGAGCGCCAGACGGTGCTCATGTGGGGCACCACGCAGTCCAGCGGCGTGCCGCTCAATAGTCGCAGCGCTGTCAATGCCGGCGGCTCGCCTCAGCGCACCACGCCCCTGACCAATGGCCTGAGCTACGCACACAACAACAACAACAACAACGAGCATGAGCCCGTTGTGGCAGCCAAGTGGAATGGCAGCAAGGCCGAGCTGACGGGCAAGTCGGCCAGCGACGGCACACCCGAGAACTATCAGCTGCAGCACGACGACTCCGGGCTCTACTCGGCCTCCTCGCACACCACATCGCCCCAGCAGCAGCAGCAGCAGCAGCAGCAACAGCAGCAGCCACATTCATCACGTGGCCTCGGCGGCTCCAATGTGAGCAACTCCAGCAATTCCATAACACACCCAGTCAGTGGCACCGAGCACCCAGCGTTGCAGCCCAGTCATGCGCATCCGCAGCAGCAGCAGCAGCCGCACCCACAGCCGCCCAGTTGTGCAGCTAGCCTCCAGCAACAGCAACAGCAACAGCAGCCGCACAGCCTTCACGCTCATCCACATAGCCAGCAACAGCAGCACCACCATCATCAGCATCAACCACAGCCACAGCCACCACCACAACCACACACCCATCCACATCATCAGCATCACAACGAAAGCCAAGCAGCCGCTGCTGTGCATCATTTGCATCCGCAGGCAACGGCCGGCACCGCCAATGGCAGTGAGGTATGGTCGCCTGCCAGCTATACGCAGTACTCGCAGTATTTAGCTTACCACCACCATCATCATCACCACCATCCGCACCACCACCACGCAGCGGCTGCGTCCACGCCTGGCGCGGCACATCACCATCTGCACCACCATCACCACCACGGCCAGCACACGGCAAGCCGCTAGAAACTAAAAGACACTAATTCAACTAGAACAGCACCGTAGACGCACCACACCACAAGCCCCCCCCCACCCACCCATACACACACACACACACACACACACACACACACAGGCAAACACATAGACACTTAGTGCACTAGTGAGTGCTACTGTCAGACTAACTAAACCTAAAACGCTACTCCCCCTACTTAGATCCTAATCAGCACCCAACTGCAACAGCATCAACAGCAGCAGCAGCAGCAGCAGCAGCAACAACAACAACAGCAGCAGCAACAACTCGTTGGATATACGCTGCACCACCATCCGCTGGAGTCGCCGCCCCACTGTCGCTCGCCGCCCACGCTGCCCGCTGTGAGCAGCCTGCTGAGTGGTGGTGCATCAGCGGATGCCTCAGCCTATCAGCAGCTAGCAATTGTCTCCTCTGCAGCTGCAGCAGCAGCGACTGCGGCTCCGCCGCTCATTATTTGCGCAGAGGAATCGCTGCAGGCGCTCAACAGCAGCAGCGGCAGCAACGAGGCGCACATCAGCTCCACTTCAAGCAACTCTGCGCGCACCGCACGTAAGGCTGCCAAACTGCAGCACCAGCAACAACAGCAACAGCAACAGCAACAGCAGCATCAGCAGCAGCAACAACAACAACTTCAGCCAAATTATCAGCAGCATCACGCACAGCATCTACTCTATCCGGCCAATATAACTGCACACACGGCGCTGGCCTATGCCCCGCCGCCGGCTGGCGCCTATATCGATGGCAGTCCGCTGCTCTCCTTCTCGGAGGTGACCAACACGTTGCTGAATCAGTAGACAACTGGAAGACCCCAAGACACACAGACACACACACATACCTACACACATATATATATATATATTTATATATAAACCATGTTCAACAGTTTTGCCAAAATGTGGACTATGACTATCGTATCTTCCATAATCTCAACACAAATACACACACACATACACACCCACACACACACATATATATATACGAATATTAAGAGCACAAAGAAATAGCAAACGAGAGAGCAGTTTATAGCTATCAATTTAACAAGAGCCTTGCTCGAGTGTATCAGAATTAACTTCAATCGATACGAGTGCTGAGAGATCTATTAATCGATAGATCAAGCGGAATCGAGAATTTAACTTAGGGGATATTTAGGATAGTCATAAAACAGAATCACAACAATCAATGTCCCATTTACCTCAAGTTTTAAACATTTTAATTTTTATTTATTTTTTTTTTTTTTTTTGCAATTGATTTAACTCTTAACAATGTTATCATATGAGATGCATTGATGTCAGACATAAATAATATATAATAAATACATATTTTTGCGTTTTTCCAAATCAGAAAATTCATATAAAAGTGGAAAGCAGAGGTTGATCAATTTAGAGTTTGCAATAATTGCATTTGTAATTTCGATACCGTGAAATGGCATTTGTAAAAATTTTTTAAAAATGATTAAAGAGTTTGTTATAAAACAATAATTAAGAGAAGAATATCCGAAATTTAACGCTTATACCTAAAAGAGATTATAAAGATGTACACAACAAATTCTAAATTGACAGCAACTGTTGATTCCTCATCAAATACTTTCGCATAAAACTAGATTTGTCTATCCTATTAACCTATAACGAAAATCCGAGCCCAGAAACAGTCTAGACTAATCTGAATTAAATAAATTTTTTTAACATAGATTCTTTCAATCAAAAAAATATATCCAATATTTTCATAATACCCATTTGATATTCTTTCCATAATGATCTATATCCTATCAGCTGTTAATATCTACTGAATACATTCGACAAAGCAAGGCTCGAGACAACAGAAAAGAAATCTCAGTGTAATAGTATTATTTCAAATGCAAATATTCCGAACCCATTAAGAAAGGTGTCTCTTTAGTTAATCCTTCGAGCAACACAATATGTAATTCTATTTATTTTACTGTGATAATTTATATAAACCTATGTACATGTAATACTTAACACAAGGCAGGCAATTTGAACCGTATCCGTAATTCCAATTACTTCCGTAACATATCGAACGATGTTATTAGGGCAACAATAGAATACAATTTAAAATTAAAACCTGCACAAAGTATGTATAATTCATCGTCAGTTGTAGTAACAACCAAAGATTTTCATTTGTTATACTAAATACAAATTAATCTAATTGTAGGAAATACACACAAACAAAAAGAAAAAATACAAAACAAAAAGAGAAAAAATAACAAAACTCAATTTGAGTTTTCAGATTGTTGCGCCAAATTTTAAGTTTCATATTTTCAGGCACTATAGAAAAGAACATTAGAAGAAGAAAACAAACTAAAATGAATCACAATTAATTGCTTAAGTAGCCATAAGATTAAACATAATTAAATATTTACATATACATATATATGAAGTGTATGTATATATATATTTATATAAATAATCAAATTACTTATTTTAATAATAATTAATTATTTAAAATTTAAATAGACCTAATGACAAGCAAACTAAATGCAAATTAAGTAATTTTCATGATTCCTATCGTTTAGCATGTAATCCGAAAGCGTGTTGGATATTTTAAATATTTCTTGAACTTCTAGTCGCCCATATAAAACATTTACTATACATACATAAATATATATATAAATATAAATATATGTATTTCAATATATATTAATAGCATATAAATATAAATATAAACCATTATTCAAAATACTTTAATTGTACATTTCAATTTGATGACCGTGAGTTAAGGCAACAATAATATTTGGTAATCAAAATTGCATTCCAAAATCTTTATCGAATGAAACATACGAAATAAGTTTAACTCAAACGAGTTTTAACAAATATACAAACATTTTATTTAACAAGACATATTAGAAACCCAATTTCATGTACTCGTAAAATGCATATTCAATCAACCAGAGCGAAATAAATCTAGAAAATATTCAATCGAAAACATAATTGAATGATATTTTAATCTCTCAATGTGAAAAGGTTTTAATCAGGAATATGATCAAATATTTCCTCACTAAGTTTTCTTTCATCCATTCACATAGGTAATTTTATATATTTGAATGTGGCGCCAAGATTTCAGGCCACACTCAACCAAACAACAAACAATACTGTAAGCAGTATATTTCGTGCTTAAATGACTATTTTTCCAAATTTGTATCGATATATCGTGTAACAGTCTGCTCAAACACGGAAAAATATCGTGCCAAACTGAGCATTTTATCGGTAGCACTTATCGATTTATCTCTTAAGTTGGCGGCCACTTTTAAAATGCAACCACTTTACGAAGTTGGCAGCTCTTTTCGAGTGCACTCAGTTTTTTCATTTATTTAATATTTTAAAAGTTTTAAAGCACATCATAACATGCTTAGGAAGCTTCAGCGGCTGATTTATATGCCTCGAAATTAAGTTTTGCGGGAAATCCAGCCCAGGTGCAGGTTTTTTTTCTAACTTTCATGGACAATACAACCGCAAAGCCGCAAGCAACAGCCTGCTTTATGATTAAGCTTAATTGGTGACTTTGCTGCTGCATCAATTGACAACATAAAATGCATTGATTGACACCTAGCGAAGAATTTACTATAAAATATATTATATGGCGTAAAAGAGTAATCGCCAACGCAACAAAATGTTGGAGTTGCTTAAAGACTTGTTAATAAAGGTCTCATCAGCTGCGCTGGGCTTCACAATGGCAGCGCACCTAGACTGTAATCATATGTGGGTTAAGATATTGTAGATATTGTTTAGTATTAAATGTTTGCTATAGTCATTACTGGAAGTACATAATGCGTGTCTTCATGTACACAAATATACGTACGTCCACGTCTCGTATTCAGATGAATGTATGTATCGCAGCTGGAAAGCAGCGCAATTAATCATATACTCTAATTTTATATACAATACATCATTGAAGCCAAAATATTTGTTGGGCATTGAACAGATATTTTCTAGATTGATGGCTTCATTGTTCAAGTGGCAGTTGCCGATGTCGAGTGGAGCCACTTACTTGGGCTAGATACAACAAAAATGATGCCTTCTGGGCTCATCTAACAAGCGGAGCAAGTGCTCCAGGCCTCATTGCCAAGTGCTCAAGGTCAAGTAGAGCAGCGATATAAAGAGAAATCCCCAACAATACAATTGCCATAGTCAGAGTTTTGTCATTTCAGAACTGGAATGCGACTCCCATACGATTGCACTCACGAAATTAATTAGCATGAAAAGTTCGTCTGTAATCTTTTCATATAGACATACGCTTCTCATACAACACGCAGACCTACTTGGTATGCACAGAGGATGTGATGACTTTTGTATACCCTAAAGCTATTGTACATATGCCAAATAGGAGATGATAAGCTTGTTAATGTGTATGTAACAAACAGAAGAAGCATTTGCGCTTGCCGAAAACTGAATTTTCATTATCACCCGTCAGAGTTCTTTATAGCAATTTAAAATGTATGATGAACATTAGCTATAGAAGACCTATATACAGTATAATAAGTAAATATTTATAAAATGAAAATGAAATGTTTTTCATTGCCAGCCTCGTTATAAACAAATTTATTGTAGGTTAGGGTTCATTGCCAATTCATCCTATCTTCCGATTCATCCACCCATACGTTGTCAATAATTTTTCGTTTTATTTATACCCTGAGCCCATTCAAAATGCGAAATTAGAGAATGTTTTCTTCTATGTCAAATTTTTTCTAAGTTAATTGAGTCAAGTTTCCCATAAACCTTAAAAAACGAATGAAATTATTATTATAATTTTTATTATTATTATTATTATTAGACGACGATAGTCATTAGCAATAGTATAAAAAGTAGTGTAAATGAAAGGGAAGATAGGAAGCTTAAGTGATGTATATGAGTTATGAATAATGAAATTAGTTATAGTAAGTCTTTTAATGGGATAATGCTGAAGGAGATTTAAGTCTGGTTAAAAAAGTAAATCTGTTAAACAACGGACATGTTTGTATTAATTTGTGAAGGTTAAGCTGAAGTTGCTCCTCGCGGGAATTAGGATATCCACTAGCCGACTATAGAACTATTTTGAATTTATTTTACTTTTAGAGGAAGTCTTTTATTATGCAGTATAGCAAGCCTGACAACAAAAGCCATAATACTAATAATACTTTGCTCGAGTGTAGGCAAATATTGCATATTTTCGGTTTATTGTGTGGCGGCAAGTTCGTATCTTAAGTCTTTCGTTTGGACCATTTTCTAATGTACAACAATTAACAGAGTGAGGCGATTGTTTTATTTATTTGTTTATTCATTTGTTTTATTTAGCATTGTGCGCTTTCCATCGCCTGACCTTTAACAGTCGTGTTGTACACATTTAGTGCCATCGGCCATACCGTCTAAGTAGGTCTATAGAGCGGCGGCGAGAGTTGGGTATATGCTGAACTATGCTGTGCGGTCCGGTGCGGTGCGATGCTGTGCAGTGCCACAAATTGAACTTCACTAAGTGCAATAAATGAATCCAAAGGTGATAATCTTGGCTTATTCAGTGCTCTTCAGATTGCCAGACGCGTCACTTCGGATCGTCACTTAAGGTCAATGTGGGCATGGGGCATGCTGGCTGCGATCATTACTCAGCGGCTTGGCTGCTGCTGTTAGATGACCTTGAGGCATTGTTGCTTGTTTGACAAATTTGTAGCACCCCAGTTAGAAAAATTGCCACTTAATGTCGGTCGCGATGTGACCGGATGCTCGCCTAAGCCGCTCGCGTCGCATCGAACTTGGACTTGAACAGACTTGCGACTTGCGACTTGCAGCTGGCAAAGGCAAAGCCAAAGGCGAAGGTATTTATGTAAATGTAGTCCGTAGTTGGTGGCTTTAAATTTGTATTTGACTTTTGACTTCCCTGTTCGCTAGATCAATTTATCAACGGCAATTTTTACACTCTAAAAAAAAACGCGGTGCATGATTACATCATTACATTATGCAAGATAATTTTTAATTATTATTTAATTATTTCGTTGCGGAATTATACTCTGACTTTTTTATGAGTTCATAGCATTTAATAATATATAAGCAGCATCACTTACTCTCTCTCTCTCTCTCTCATTCCATGTCACTCTATCTTTCTCTCTCTCTCTTATTTCATGTTTCTCTATTTTTCCCTCTCTCTCTCTCTCTTTCTCTACCTGTCTATATACAAATTTAACTGAAATTGAAAATTATTTTCTTTCTTCTTTACTGCTGCCAAGTTAATCTTTGTTTTTCCGAGTGTATATTTATATTACCTTTAACTAGGCATACGCGTAATCGCCAGACAATTGAGCACACCTCATTACACACGTTATTCGTTAGTCGCTATTCATTATGTGCGCCATTCAATTTCAGCCCATTGTCGCTTGTTGGGGGCGTATACGCAATAATTGACAATCTGCTAACTGATGCCAGCTGTAGGCTGTAAGCCGTTCGCTGTTAACTGTTATCAGCGATATATGCCAGGCACATATGTACACATCATCTGGCCACATCTGAAGGCAGCATCGCTTGGCTACTCCACAAATACTTTCATTTTTCATACTCAGAAGCAGCGCTTGGCCCGCGGCTTTGTGTCTTTGTGTCGCTTTAAACAATTTTAATCAACGTGTGAATCTGTGCTTCTCTTTGTTGCTAGTTATTGTTGGGCCGGTTCAATGGGACCTTGCCAAATCCAAAAAAAAAAAGTGAAAAAAACCGAAACAAGACGTAAACTATCAACATGAATTATGCCGAATTGCACCAATTTAGCAATTAAACATATGTATGCTGCCCATTGGGCACGAACGAAAGAAGAAGAAGTTCGGCAAATGAGCTTAAATAAATGGCAAGCAGTCATTGTGTTCGCTTCTAATACTCTGTAATCTGGGAAACAAGTTTTAAGGAGGCCATATGTCACAGAGTATTAGAATAAGAAGAATAGGAATAAAAGAAGAATATGTAAAAGACTTGTGAGTCTATTTAACAGTATCTATATGGATATGAAGGAGCCTCAAATTAAACTCATTTGAAAATATTGTATTGTGCTAATATTATAGTTAGTTTAGTATAAAAATTCATATAATTTTGAAATAAAATTGTATATTTTAATAATAAAAAAAAAAATAAAAAAAAATAAAAAAAAACAACAACAACTATAGATTTAATCAGAATGTTCATTTAATAAGCTTATGAAAGGAGAACTCAAAACTCAAGAAATTTAATTGCAGAGACCGTAACGATTTTAATTTGCCTAACAAATTTAAGAAATTAGAATTATTTTGTATTAAAAAAATAACTTTTAATTATTAAAATTAATTTATATAATAAAAAAAAAATAAATAAATATTATTATAATATTATTTATCTTTAATTTTTGTTATAAAAACTAAAAATAAAACTTAATTTTAATTTTTATTTTTATAAAATTGGAAGTAAAAATTTAACTGGTATATCTTTTGGATGGAAGGTGAACATTTATAATCTTATATATATGATCTACGCAGTAATGCCTATCTGCTGATATATAATATGTATATCTGCTTGTACAAATTCAATTGAGGTTATGTTAAGGCTTGACCCTTAACCTCCAAACATCTGTCGTATAGAGTCATATAACATCAAAGAAAACAAATTTCTCCATTACGAATCTATTCTAAAAACTCATCTCCATATTATACATTCGAAATCTCTTCAAAGCACGTAGCTAAAAGCAGTGTATCTACGCGCCGTAAACACTTGTTGCTTACGTATTTTGTTATTGTTTTCAGGTAGAGCTGAAGGCCACCTTGAATAGAATCACACGCCTTTGGCACCCCTGCCCGCTGCCGCCTCAGTCGGAGCACCGAGAGAACTTAGAGATGTCGATGACACACCTCGCCGGCATGTTCGGGTATGTGGTCTAGCTGCAAACTGGGGAGCAACATTCTGTTTCAATGAGTATTTGTAGCGATTAAGCTTTGCAGCCAACATACATAGAGAGCTGGAGGCCCCACACCTTCACTTGGTTTCCATTGAACCCGTTGACATCGCCGCTAATTGCCAAAAGATGCGCCAGCAACAAGTGCAGAGCAAACTCGTGATATGCAAGAAACAAAGTTCGGCATTCAGATTATTGTTCTTTTAATTTAATATTGTGAACTGGCTAATGAGCCACATAACATTAGGAATCGCAACTGAACTGTAGAATAAATGTACAAGTCTATAAGTATTCTAAATACATGTTCTCTATAGATAAATAGATATCAGATTAGTTTCAGGGACATTAGTAATGGATGTAGTTGAGACCGATTTATAAGAAAGAAAGTTGTTCATCTTGAGATGCTCATCAAGTATGGTGTATATCTTGAATATATCCTTGGGCTTGGATCTGGCAAATTACACACATATCAGCAGATCTTAACTGGTGCTGCCCGTAACGAAATCATCTCATGTCGCATGCAATTACTTGACCTTAACAGCGGCTTTTTGGTAGCGTGTGCCAATTGGAGGTGGCGCTAATGCTGCTGATGATGACGATGATGATGATGATGATGATGATGCTGCCGCTGATAAACATAATTTTGATGCTGCTGCAAGTCATTGCTCACCCAATTTCAAAAGATATTAACACGTACAAGAGTACTCACACACACACACTCACACACAAAGACAGGGACTAGCAAATGTGGCTTATATGTACTTAAGAGCATGTGGGCATCCAGTTCCACTAAATCCGCGCATTGCTACGGCATTCAAATTACGTTTCGAATTTCTCTAATCACCAACAAAAAGTCGCTGCGTGTTCGATTTCGATTTCGATTTGGTTTTCGATTTTTGTTTTTTGTTTTTCGGATTTTGACTGCCACAGCGAAGGTTAAGCTGTAAATTCAATTCAAATATGAATTACATTTACATTTGTTTATTGTTTGTAATTGTTAACGATCTGAAGATGGGGCCACCAAAAACAAAAAACAAAAAAAACGAAAAAAAATGAAAACAACAAGAAAAACCAAAAAAGATGATGCCGAATGTCGATATTACAATTGCCCAGCACAATGGGATATTTCTTTTGTTTTATGAAACAGATTTAAATGGCTTCTGAATGGTATTCGAATGACCTACCTTGCCAGCGGAAGATGGAAGTGGATGAGTCGAAATGCAAGACATTGGCCTAGCTCTTAACGATCTCATTACACACTTTGGTATTGATAGATAGCCATATCGTTGATATTGGAGTGATCGACTGATATAGTACTCAATGCACACAAAATTGAATCGAAACTGAGCAATCGTTGAGCACACGAGTAGTATTAATCGGAAGTCTGTGCATAGCACTTACTCACAATCTAGATTTGTTGTAGCTGTTTTAGTTCTCACATTTGAAGGAAAAACTTTACATAAAAAGTTTGTAGAAATTTCTTTTATATTTAATATGAATAGCAAAGAGACAAAGTCCGACGAGAGTTGCACTCAGAGCTGTGAGGACGTAAACTGCTGCAACAATACCACCCCCGAAGACTCCCCTGAACCACAAAGTGCGCAGCCAGAAACTGAGGCCTCGGATGACGCACGAGAGGAGCCGCCCATACGCGTGCGCGACATGATTAACCTGTACAATTTCGCGACGCAAAAGAACCAGGAGTTGGCGCACGCCAAGTCCATTTATTTCGGCGGCAACAGGAGCGCAACATCAATGGATCTCAACGACTTGGAACTGGCACAACAACAGCAACAGCAACAGCAAGCGGAGCAGGAGTGCTGCGATGGCACATGCCTTAAGATTCCCGGCATGGAAGGTACGGGTATGGGTCATGCCGGCGGCAGCAGCAGGTAGGGATGCACACGATTCGAAAGCTACCAAGCTTAAGCACCTGCCTGTCACACAGCCGTATACACAGCAAGAAACCGGGCAACTTTCGCGTGACCACAGCAAATGATCAGACATCACTGCGACAGTCGCCGCAGACGGATGCCCAGAGCGGCGCATCCGTGGAGAAATCATATCAGAGCAAGACAACAATTAGACGCACCGAACAGGGTGGGTAAATGAACTCAAATAAGAAGAAGAATGCTCCGAAGAGCTTCCTCCTACTAACTTCACTATTGCATTCACCTCCGCAGGCGTTCGCATCATCATTGACATCTTCTTCGACAAGAATGAGAGTGATATCGACATCGTAGGCAGCCGTGTGGAGACTGACATACCAGAGAGTCGTATCTTGGCCGATTTCCAGCAACACTCGTTGGCCACGCGCTCCTCCCAGCAAGTGAAGCAACAGCCCAATGTTTAACTCGTTTTAACTAGTTCCATTTAGACACATATATACAATTTGTAGGATAGGACGTCACAAAATTCCTTGTTATGTATACGTACCGTTGTACAGTTTGTTTGTTCGACAACACGCATTTATTTGGTTCAATTGTAGTGGTTTCTATTTATACGAGTGTCGTCTCTGCTTTGGCTTGCTTGGGCTTGCCTTGCCTTGTATTTTTTGATCGTTCTCCCCCTCCCATTGGCGGCGCATTCATGCCGCTTCCTGCCCAGCTGCAGCATCACAACCCGAGCGCTGCAAAAGCCAAATAATAAACTCTGCTGCCGCCATATGAATATATAAACCTAGAAATGCAATGAGGCAACACCAAAGTGAAACATCTAAGCGGCGCAGCAAATAGCCCCAGTTGATTCCCCCTCCGCCTCGCTCTATCACCACACTCCCCTCTTTGCGGTTCTCAACTTTTTTCCTCAGCACGACAAAGGGCTTTGAAAGGCGGCGAAACAAGTAAATAAACGGCATGAATTCAAAATGGAAATCTCATCTTACAAAACTCACTGAAAACTGAAAGCTGAAAACTCAAAACAGAAAACTGAAATCTGAAGACGGCAACGACGCCAACGCTCAAGAGACGAGCTGCCTTGCAACGAGTACTAGATAGCTGCCGCCTTTCGTAATCCCTGCCGCCTAATCTCACTTAGATCTTCAGTCTAGCTGCCGCTGCCGTTTCGATCGCTCTATTTAGCCAACAACGGTATGCTGATCCAATAAATTAGACAAATAAACATTGGTAAACGGTAGCATGCATACTCGACGCTAATAACCCCAGTCCCAAGCATTCAGCATGAAAATGAAAATGAAAATCAAATTGTAGCTGCAATGTTAACGCTTTGTTGACTGCCCTCTGCCAGAGCTGTAGCTGTAGATGTAGCTCTAGCTCTAGCCCCAGCTCTGGCTCTGGCTCTGGCGCCACCTCAGCCTCTGACTCGCACCCAAGCCCGATCTCGAGCTCAAGCTGCGCTGCCCACATCGGCTACACTTAGCCGATCTTTACAGCAGCTTCGTTTGTTAACGAAGATGCTCGCCGTACAGTGGCTCACAGCTGCGTGTTTACCTTAGCAATTTTGTAAACTAATTGAAAAAATTGTTTATTTGTTAGATTATATGAGTAATTGTATAATATTGTATAAATTGTATAAATTAATTTATATTTTATATTAAATTACTGAATTAAAATATTTATAAAAACTTGTAATTAAAGAAAGAAAATCGGAATTCAAAAAAAAAAAAAAAAAAAAAAAACAACATACACAAAAAATTAATTACATTACAGTACATCTATGTTAAATTAAATATTTATTTTATTTAAAAATTTAATTTTCCAAAAGAAGACGACACAAAACTGAACAACAGTTGGTTATATATAATCGTCTGTAAATCAAATAATAAAACGCCATAAAAATGAAGATGAATTTGCTATATTTAATTTAAATTTTAAAAATCATTTATTACTTAGTTCAATTTAATTATTTATTTCATTTAAAAAATTTAGTTTTCCAAAGCAAAATGGCGGCACAAAACTAAACAAACAAATAAAATAATTTACATAATTTAACATATTTCTAAAAAAAATTGAAACTATTTGTTACAATATTTGTTAACCGTTTATGACAGTTGATAGATTGATAGATGTCTACATAGATTCCTGTCTACATATATATATATATATTTTTTTTTTTTTTTTAATTATCACAATTATTTTATTTTATAGTGCAACAAGAATAAAGCAAATGAAATATTTATAAAATATTAAGTAAATTCCACTAAAGCCTTCAGCTGCAATTTCAGCAATTTTGAACAGGTTTGCGCCACTGTGCACTGTGTCGGCGTTGATGACGATCGCTTGGCGCTTCTTTTGTGCGGCGTCTAGCGGGCGGACTTTGCCAGCGGCCTAATGTGAATTTTAAGCCAAGTCGAATGCACTCGCAGCCATCAGTTCTGTACGAGACATTGTGCGGTGCGGTCGATACAGCGGCAAAGCCAACTTCAAACGACGACGACGACATCGAAGACACGGAGATACAAAGCTGAGATAGAAGGCGCAGACGAAGACGTGCGTCTCTTGAGGTGCAATTCGCAATTTGCAATTGTGCATTAACCGAGATAGGCATTAAGTGTTAAGTGCCGTGCCGTAATAAATATATAATTTATGCCAGTTTAGTCTTGTGGATGGACCGATCAGCGATCGAACGTGATTGCATCTCCGATCTCAAATTTCAAATTTGAAACTTTGGCGCGTGTGCTCTTGACTTTGTTTCCACATTCGATCAGTCAGTCAGACAGACAGTCAGACTGAGAGTCAGACTGGCAGCTGACATTTGATCTTTGCTAAAGATCGACTAAAGATCGGTCGACTCGTGTGATCCGCGATGTGTGCTTAGTGCGAACCTCAACTGAGACCATATGGACTCCCATCGAAAGCAACACCTACGTGTACCACAGCAATTTGTTTGCTCAGTTTAAGACTCAGGTGAGCCGTAAACTAGCTCTGACCTCTGATTAGTTGCCGCCCATTGCAAGCACTGCTAGTGATTCCTTCCACTCAGTTCCAACAATTAGAAGAATAATGCCAAAGTCGTAATCAACCTGTAATGCCAGCTAATTGGAATAATTGTTGTTGTTGTTGTTTTCGCTGCTGCTGTTGCTGCTCTTTCTGTGGAAATTGCTGGCAAAAATGTCAAATAGGCTCTGAGTTCGGCTCGTTTCTCTCAAATTTTTTTTCATGTTGTGCTGCAAGGCACAAAACTGCAATAATAAAAAAAAAAAAAAAAAAAAAAAACAATAACAAAACCAGCATCACGAGCTGAGGATAAAGTTGCAAATATTTGGTTGCTAGTTGCCGTTTATTGTCAAAAAGGTCAAACCAATAGCAAAACCAAAACACAAAAACTTCCCAAAACAGAGGGAAAAACAAACTCTGCCAAATTTTTACTTGTTTTGTTGTTGAGCATAAAATGATCTTGTTAATGGCTCTGAGGAATGCCGCAAATAACAGGAAAGACTTCAATTGATTTTCAATTTGAGAACTCAATTATGAAATAGAAATGAATGTCAAGACTTCCCAAGGATTACCTTAACAAAAATTATAAGGAATATATGGTAATCACAATAAAAGCAGCTAGGATTATGGGATACTCAGATCTTTCGATGCTCAAGTTTCTCAATTGAAGCCCACACTTGATCAATAAAATACTCAGTGTATGGAGTATTTCAACATTTCATTGAAGCACTCATGCAAAGTCAGTAATCGAATGTAGATTAAGAACAGAAAACTCGAAATGCAACTGGTTGAAGACGATTTATAGACTTGGAGATTGTTTTAAAAATGGTCCGATTTATGTGACTTCAAGGAAAGCAACTGAGTAAAGCGAAAACTTGAAAACGAAAAATCAACAACGTTAAATAGTTCAAAGTTCAAATTGACAAATTTGGAAAGCTTGGAAAGCAACAAGAAACTGCATTTAATACAGCACGACAAGCTACTTACTCAGAGTTTATCTATATATATGGGTGTGTGTGTGTGTGTTTGTGTGTGTGTGTGTAGAGTGAATCTGCAAGGTTGCAAATTGAATTGTAGGTGGAGGTCGAGGCAGAAGCAGAGGCAGAGGCAGAGGCAATGCGTTGCTAATTCTGCCAGCCATAAAATGGCAACAATTTATGCCGCTTGTTCGCAACAACAATAACAACGACAGCAACAACAACAACAACAGCAAATACAACAACTAAACTGCAAATGTTTTTTAAATTACAATTAATTACGAACTTAAAATCGAAAATTGTTTTCACCCTGGCTGCCTACCCTAGCTCTTAGCCCCCAGCCCCTAGCCCCATTGTTGATCAGTCGCACAAAGCTGATGAAGAAAGTTTCTTTCGAGCATCTTCAGCGAGACACAATTGGAGTTAACAATATAAAAGTGAGGCACAATTGGAGTTATAATAACAATATAAAACTCAATTAGTGAGCACTTTCGAGCACTAGCATTTACAATATTTTTTTGAACACTTCCAGCCCCCCCACCACCAGCAAAGCGTCCACTAAGCTGGCCCATTGATTAGGCAATTGGAGGCAACAGTAGAAAATCAAAACACCATAAAAACGACATAAATCAACAACAACAAAGACAACAACAACGGCGAAACGTTGACGAAAATGCCAGCAAATATGAAAGATTTTCATCGGGAAGCATTCGCAATCTGCTGTTTCATCATACTTATGGCCAGTGAGGTAAGTTTTCGCCAAACCGCTCATATCACATCATGGCTATATTAGAGCCATCAAATTTTTGTCATTCTTTCTTTTCGTTTTAATGCATTATTTATTCAAAATTTACTTGTCTGCATAGCTTCAAGATAGAGAGAGACAGACTGAAAAAGTATCTTAAAATTCATTATAGTTTTATTTGTGTAGTTTATAATTGTATTTGTGCCGCATTTGTATTTTATTCTATTTTTAGTTTTAATGAAAAGTATCAAGTATCAAGATACTTGATTGATTATATTGTATACATCTTTGAGATATGCAAAACATATGCATTTCGCTGTTATAAGTATCTTGAATATACTCTTTTAATAAATCTCTTTCGTTTTAAAAACAATCATACAAATATGGCAACTATGTTTCTGAACTCTTATATAGAGATTCCTACGCTGACATTTATTTTCATTCTTGAGATATTGTTTCTTTAGTCATTCTCAATGCTCAATACTCTTTTTATGAATAGAAGTATATTCGTTTTTTACAATCCGACCGTCCTCTGCTCTGTTCATTTGTTTTCATAAGCGCAAAGCATTTCGTCGTTATTAAAGTCTGCAAATATTGAGCATAAAAAAACTAATAATACATAAAAGTTTCGTGTAACTGTAAAATAAATTAGCAACCTCAAATGAGTGTTAACATTTCTTGGAGTGAATATCTTGTGGGAGTACACAAAGCAATCGTCATGGTAAATCGATAAATAATATACCTTTCACACAAGAAATCTTATATTCGAATATACTGATTTTTGAATAAAACTAATGGTTTTCGAACCGTAAAAGAATGCAGTCGATTCGTCTGAGCCCAAGAAATAAAAGTCTATTGTATATAAATTTGGAAAATTCAACAAGAATTGTTAAGTTTCGTTCACATCTTGAAGACAGAAAACTTTTCTAATAAAAAGGGATTGTATTTATTTAAATACTTAACTTGATTTTTGTACACAACGAATACATATGAGTAATATGTATCTTGCGACTCTTAAAATAGTATGCTAAGTACAGTAATTGTTTGCCAAATCGACTTTTTATTTAAAATTGAGATACCAATTACCCAGTCAACTAAAATCAGAATCAATTTATTATTATTACATCATTAAAGTATGTTGTATCCACAATTAATATATTTATATATACAATATTTATAAAAATTTATAAAATATCACAATACACTAAGGTTTCGTACAAATCGAATAGATCTATGAATATTACATATTTTAAATATATATTTATATACATATGCATGTCAATTTATATACATATCTAGAAATCATCATTAACATTCCTGAGGTTTTCATTTACTGTGTATAAATTAAGAGTCGGGTTGTAGCACATTCGCTATTCAACTGGCTCATCAAATATTTGTATAGTATGTCGTAACAATTGTATTAAGTAATTGCCATATTGGTATCTATTCATTAATTTGTTTTACTAGACAGAATTATCAAAAAATGTTGACTATTTGCAAAATTTAAAAGATTTTGGAAGATTCGTTTACATAAAAGAGTATTCAAATTAAGTAATTACATATTAAACAATCTGCTTCAGAAATATATGTAATCGCAGCTCTGAAACTAGAGTTTTTATATTAATTTTATATTTAAATTTTACGCACTGTGCTTCAGAATAGGGCTCGTAATATCCATTGACTATTCAATTAGCAATCATCTCCATTTAAACATGCAAATTGTCATCTAGACGATGACTATATACAAGCTTTCATTTAACATATATCGTGATCAAATGCATTCTAGGTACTTCCTAGTTATAAATTAAAAGATTGAGATAACCGACTATTCAAATTCGGTTCTATCTATATAGAAATGCAAAGACCTTTTATGTTAAGCGAGCCAACAACTGCATTAATCAGAGTCTATTATCTGTCTTCATAATTTCTATTTATAGTAGAGAGTATTCAGAACCTAATAATATATCTAAATATATTTCTTCGAATACAATAATTATTGTCTTATTATTTGTCTACAAAACTCTTACCGTCTAAGTTTTATAATTATAATTGCATTAATTGAGTTATTTCAATGAATCAACTCTAGTCTGATTATCTTTCATATGCGATATTTACCTCAGCAAATTTAAATAGAAATTGGGTGTTTATGATTTTTGCGAAAAATTTACCGCTTTAGCAACTGAAAATAACCTTTGGGTTAGGGCTCTGACAGGTATTTCGTCTTGAGCTTCTTCTTATGGTTTTTTAAGTTTGACTTGACTCTTTTGTTGTTGTTGTTTTTGTTGTTGTTTGTAGCGTTACTTCCCAAGTGCTTTTAAGCAACGGCGGAAAGTGTTGTAATTCTGCGCTCTTTACGCTTTGTTTCATTTTTAATTTATTCTATGGTCTGTCTATGTGAGTACGCCTTCTGATATGGGTATTCATTCACACACATGCCACAGAAACAAAAACAAAAACGCAAACAAACGGCAAAGGTCTTCAAGCATATTAAAACAAAGACGTTGACGCAGTCGCTGGCCAAGTGACCTTTTTACTGACACTTTTGCAGCACAGCGCGAAAAAGAGGTGAAAAACGCTACAACAATAAATGGAACAAAATACGTAACAAAAAAGTTTGTTTTCTGACTTTTTTTTTTATATTTTGGTGAGCCATGAAAATGGAAACGAAGATGAAGTTGAGGCTAAACCTATGGTTATGAAACAGTGGACTTCAAAAGCAACTCTCCAAAGCATCCGCCAATTGCCACTATCTAAACAAAGCCCCGCAAGCATCGACAGTAAATGAAATGCATTTAACTATGAAATTGAATACAACTACTCGCAGCATGTGATCAAATTGCGGATTGCAAATTACATAAATTAGCCCCGAGTCAAGTATTTGGTTAGTCAGCCATTCGGTATTCCAAATTGCCAGCCAGCCACATCTTTAAGATCTTCACAGTTTCCGAGTTGAGCACCGTCTCGGCGCCCTTATAAGGCGAATGCAAAACAATTTTGTCAGCCCACAGTGTCGCAAATGAATGCTAATCGCTTTGCCTTATAAGCCAGCGGGAAACCTAATCAGATGAGCTCCTATGTAAAAGTGTGGAGAACTTTTGCTCAAGCGCGAATCAAATGTGCTCTAGTTAGGAGAGCGCGACTTTAAGATACCCTGTAGATAACTTATATATGAAGTTATAATATTATAATTATAAATATTTATTTCTCTCTCTCTCTCTCTCTCTCTCTCTCTCTTTCTTGCTTTTCTATTGTATTTCTGGTTGCTTTTCTATGACAAAGACTCTTAAAATGTTAGCATAATCTTAATATAATTAAGAAAATAAGTAGTAAATAAATAATGAAAGACGTTATTAGATACTAGCTAAATTAAAAAAAAAAAAAAAAAAAAAAAACTGGAAATGACTAAATAACAAATAATTACACATACTCACGACGCTTTTGCCTTTGCCCAGATAAATGCAATATCCGTCATGCTATTAGGCCCCTTTCACTCTACATCTCTCCCCTCCTTCTCTCTGAAGATCTATATATCTGTCTCTCTCGCTCTGTATGTATATATGCTTATGTATGTATATGTTTTTCTGTAGTATTATAGTACACCCTATATATGTACATAGATGGCATCAAGAAATCTAGCTCACAGTCTTTAAAGCACTAAATGTGGAGATCTTTAGACAACGCTGTGCAATAAATAATAGATTTATTTAATTTAACTTGAGCAAAAATAATAATAATATGAAATTCAAAATGTCAGCAAATATCTTTTATCTCGTTAATGGAGCCTCACTTTAGTCACAGCCGTCGAATCAACTGTGACACGTTAGCTCAGGAATTCGAAGGGTTCAGCAAGAAGCGAACGTACAACAAATTTATCTGAACAAAAAATCTGTTGTCCAGTACATACATACATATTTTATTATTATTTTTCAGATTTTTTTCCTGATTTTTTTTTTTGCAATATTATATAAGACGTTGTAGGGCTGCGCGGCGGTAGCCTCACGTGGTTTACTATATTGTTTTGAGGCAGCTGGGAAAATAATTTTTCACGGACTTTGAAGACTTGGCTACGGAAGCTTATTCACATATTCACACGTAGCTGTCGCTGAGGCGGCCCAGTGGCAGATTTCGATAAGTCATTGGGCTATAATTTGCGAGAGACACATGAAGACTTTTTCTATATAATTAAACAAAAAGCAAAAACACAAACAGCAAACAAAACAACAAAAAAGTATGAAAATCACAACACACAAAGTTGACATTTCACACAGCAGCAGGTCGCCGCATTGGGCCCATCGATTGTTGCAAGCCAAGCAGCCGTGGCACCATGTGCCAAGTTATGACATCACTTCAATTCATCAACTGGTGGACTATAGCCCAGAGCCGTGCCATACACATACCAGTCAGCCAGCCAGTCAGGCAGCTAGCTACAATCGCACATGGTCTTGGTCTTGGCACGAGTACTCAGTTCGACTATGAATAGATCTTGATCAGACAGCAGGGTACTCGCTATCATTTGTTTAGCTTCACTAATAGCTTTTGGCTTGGGAAAGCGCCACAAGCTATTCTCCTATAGCAACTATGCATCAACAGATATATTGCAACTCTGTATTATCTCTGCACGGCCCACCGTTAGATCCGTTGGATCTTCCTCTACTAATAACGATCATCTCTTTTCCACATCATCCATGTGCTGACTGGGTTTTTAGGATCATAAGAGCTATAGACGCCTGTAATACGTGCACGGACTATGAATATTTCCATTGTTACTCCTTCTTCTTCTTAAAAAATCGAATTAAGTGTAAGATAAATCAAATATGTAGACCATATACAGAAAACTACTTAAGTTCGTAAAGCAACTTATAATATAATATTTAAATCCATAATAAAATAATATAACAATAATAAAATAATATATTTTCAAATTACATTCAAATTTAAGGTCCTGTAACTTCGAACTTTATCAGTTATTCTAATAAACATATAACTTTTATAAATAAATTATTAAATTAAAAATAAAAAAAAAAAAAACATAATTTAATACTTTCCAGTGCCAAGCTGCATTGAACACGCAAAAGACTTCCTTCTCTTGTGCAGGACGACCGGCAGGTTACTATGCGGATGTGGAAACTGGCTGTCAGGTGGGTGGCCAAATGTAGTACACAATTTTCTATTTGTTATGATGTTTGTTGTTATGCTTGATTATGATTAGGTCTATCACATGTGCGATGGCTTGGGCCGTCAGTTCAGCTATACGTGCCCCAATACGACGCTCTTTCAGCAGCGCATGCTCATCTGCGATCATTGGTACATGGTCAACTGCTCCAAGGCTGAGAGCAACTATGCGGCGAATCTTTTGATAGGTAAGTCTCAGTGACTCTTGTCTCGAACTTCATTAAGATTACGTTAGCTGTTGTAGAAATTACCATAAATGTTTTCATTTAAAATGTTCTCCTTGGCATGCCGCTAGGTCAGCGCGATAAGCCGTTTGTCAATGATGAGGAGAATAGCTTGCGAACGCCCCGTCCCGATCTGCTAGATCGTCCCTATGCTCCCGACTATTCTGGCGAATCCTTTCGGAACCAATACAAGGTAAGCATGGAGCAATCCCTATTATCACTCACCTCTCATGTTCTCCCTCTCTCTTTCTCTTTCTAAGCAGCAGCTGACGCCAAGTCAAAATCAGATACGCGATGATTCCGTAAAGAGCCCCGATAAATTTGATTCACAGCAGACACAAAATAGTCAAACGCGCTGGAGGATTCCCCCACCCAGCCGCACTATCCTCCCGCCCGCCTTTGAGCCCCAAATAGAGCTCACCAGCAGCACGCCTCAACCACGACCCAGAGTAAGCAGCAGCACCACCACCACCACTAGCACTCGCAGACCCACCACCACACCGCCTCCTGTGTCACACAAGCGGACGGAAGCGCTGTATCAACGAACTGCGGACATGGAAGCGGATGACCTGGGCACGAGTCACAGCACGCGCTACAATACCTCGGCGGACTTTAACTCTGCTGAGCAGCCAACGACCAAGAACTCCACCAAGCTGGTGAAGTTCATCAAACCCCCATCGAAGATCTATGAGCCTCCGTTCGTATATCCCATTTACAATCAGGACGTCCAGGAGGTGCAGCCGGTTACGGAGACTTTGCGCACATCGTCAGCGATGCCCTTCAGCACAGCCGCGACGCAGACCCGCTTCTCGGCGGCAGCAGCCAGACCCAGCACCACTACCAGGCCACCCAGTCGCCCCACCACCTACGCCGGACAGCCCTTCTCCCAGAGCACGGCAGCCACCACGGCGAGCACAACAACCAATTATCGTCCAGCTGTGGCTCAGACAGAGCATCGAACACCCACGCCGGCGCAAGCGTTCCGCCAGACCACGCCCACCTCGACAGTGGCGCCCAGAGCTGGAGGCAAGGGCGAGCTGCCCTTCAATGACCTGTTGCCGCCATTTGTGGACTTTGTGCCACACGACATAGCCACGACCCAGGGACCGCCCATTTACTATGAGTGGAAGGTGCCCGCCAATGGGCTGGTGCCGCCAAAACTGGATCCGCCCATAGGCGTGGATGGACGCGAGTACCCGGAGACAAAAGCCGACTACAATGTTAAGGTCAAGCTGGAGAGCTTCAACTCCAAGTTCAATGACATTGCCAACACCAATGCTGTGGCGGCTGCCAGTGGAGCTGTACCCAAGCGACTGCCCAGCTCGCGTTCCATCAAGCCCAACGAGCTGCCCCTGGGGTCCACGGAGAAAGCACAACGACGCGCGGATGTGGTCAGCACCGGCTCCGGCTCTAGCTCCCCTTTGACATCGGATATTACGCAGCTGCGCAAACAGCTGCTCATACCGGAATATGCCTTTCCGCTGGAGACCATCGGACGGACGGGCTATGCACCCGGCTCCAGTGTGGCCGGGGATCTTTACAACTCATTTCAGCTGAAGATACCGGAGCGAAGGGCCGGCAGCGGTAGCTCATTCAGCAGCAGTTCCACTCAAGGCAGATGGTTCGGCGAGAATCCAAAGTGCCCCGAGTGCCATCCATCCTTTGTGGTGCCCGGCACCTGCGAGCCCTGTTTGCGTAGATAGTTAACTGCACTTACACTTAAGTTTCACATACCACAAGCCGCGCCTACGCACCGTCCTAGTATTAGCTGACATATATTGTATTCATAGCCGCCCCAGAAAATCCGCCTTCGCATTGATTCATGCATTTAAATGTTAACTTTATTGTATACACTCACAGTAAAAATAATGCGCATTAAATAAGTGAGTAAAACTACGTATATTCAAGCATGAACCTCGGTTCACAATTGCTACGTTCCAGGTGGTAAGTATGTGTGGTGTGCTTCCTAAATAACGCTCACTACAGCAATGCAAGAGTTATGCTTGCCTAAAACGGCAGACTAACTATATATAGGTAACTTCGTAAATTCCATAGAGATGGGCACCGAGAAGCCTAATAGATAATTTCGTGTATGAGTATTTTGCGAGAGTAGCGCTGCTTTGAGAGTCTTATCAATATGCTTATATAAAATATACACGTATGTAATTAATTGTGATAATATTGCCTGATATCGGTGTAGAGTGACATGATTATCTCTTCAATTACGATTCTCTAAAATTCAACAAGATTCAACTGTGATTCGTTCACACTCCTCTCTAACTATGACCTGATAGTCCTCAACAATAAAATGTAGTAAATGAGTTCAATTCATTTGAATAAATTGTGACTTATTGTGATCAAATCATTCTATATCGTGATTCACTATAACTCTAGCTGCTCAGGACAGATTATGTGATTTTATATACAAGGTGCAATTGTTTTGCTTCGCAACTCCGTTTAACACTCACTGATAACTTCTCAACACTGTTTTCTAATGCAGTGCAGTAACGACTTTAGATTGCCTCTTAGCAAAACAGTTTCAAAATATCATTTTAATAACGTTTTCTCATATTTTGTCAAGACAGACAATTTCGAATTGTTACAATTTGTTCGCATTGCCCATCTCTAAATTTCTTGATATAACAGATTCAAACATCCTATTTGTGTACATAATAATGCGTACAGAAACGCAGCAACGCGTGCAACATCGGTGAAAACATTTGATTTGAAAGGCACATTTAAGTAAATGCATCATGAGTGGACTTCAGATTCTTCTAGTTGCTAGCTCGATGGAAAACTTGGATACATCAGAGTGATCAGATCAAAAATCAATCGATAAAACTTAAACTAATGGGAAAGACAATAGGATTGGACAAAACTCGAATAGAAACTTTTGACTAGCACTTTGTTCAGGGTTCAGGGCGCATAAAAGAAGATGCTCGGGGTCCAGGGTCGGGAGGCGCCCACCGACATTTCGGGATAGGCGGGCGCCATCTTGTTGTTGGGGCATCCAGGTCCATCGCTGGGAAATTCCTGACCCACCGCTTGGGCTCGTAAAATAACTTTATGCGGCTTGGTCACGTCCACATTGGCCACGACGCCCGCTTCGTGGCGATAGCTATAAAATCGATTGGTCAAATGGCCATCCACATATATCTGATCGAACAAACGGGAGTAAATTATTATTCAAACTGCCTGAGATTAGTAGATTAATGTACAAGCACTCACCTCGTAGCCACCGATGCCGGCACAGTCTTCCAGTTCCCAGCGTACATAGAGCGCACGACAGCCCAGGCTGGAAACACTCGTAATGGTCACCGGGAAACTGTCACCCGGTGCATTGCCCATACAGGCCGAGGGCTTGGGATCCTATGACAGTAACCAAAATAAATATTGAAATAAATGTGCGTATAAATGAATGCATGCAGTATTATTTACCTTGGGATTTATCTTGTTCTTGGTCATAACATGGTTCATGGCTTGCAAGTCGCAGATAATGGAATCAATGAAAAATTTCTGAAAGAATTAAAATGTGAACTTATAAGAATACATCAAGAAATCAGCATTAAGTGAAGGTTTTCCTAATCGGGTAATCGAAAATCGAGGACTCGATCGAGCCTGTGCAATCCCAGCAAGTGTACTCACCGTTTCGGCCACGGGATCATATTTAACTGCATCCAGTGTCTTGGAGACCGTCAGGCATTGGTTATCACAGACGACCGCGCGACAGTGACAGCAAATGCAAGGCCCTCCAGGCTTATCCATCTGCTCTGTGGCCTCCTCATCCAGCTGCTGATCGTCTTCACACAATTCACACATGCGCCGCATCATATATTCGCATAGTAGTCGTTCTCTATCCGTAAGCGGACTTAATGTATCATCCACTTCAGACTCGCATTGACAGGAAGCTTTTTGCAAGGCACCAGAATTTCCAGATTCACATTGGCAGAGCTCTTTTGAAGATTCTCCTCGAGGGCTTCTCTCGCTGCAACGATCCTTTGACGATTCTCCTCGATGAGTCATGTTGCTCATTTCCTCTTGTGCCGATTCTCCCCGACGGCCAGTACTGCTGCAATGCTCTGATTCTCCTCGCGGCGTTCTGTTGCTACTCTGCTCTTGTGCTGATTCTCCCCGAGGGCTTTTATTGCTGCTCTGCTCGTATGCTGATTCTCCTAGAGGGCTTTTATTGCTGCTCTGCTCGTATGCTGATTCTCCCCGAGGGCTTTTATTGCTGCTCTGCTCCTCACGGACTGTTAGTTGGCAACACTCTTCTTCAAGATGAATTTCATCATCTGTTCGCGCTTCCGGCTGTGCTGAGCGAGAGCCAGAGCCTGAAGCTGAGGCTTTCGGAGGTGATACGGATGACTTACCACCCTCTTCGATCGGTAACGATTTACCTATCGTGTCAGTATCACATGGGGTCTTGTCCGTTAGCTTGGACTGAAAGGATTTACATTCGCTTCTTTTGGAACTATGAGATTTGCAATCGCAAGATTTGTAGCAGGACGATTTGGATTCACTTGTTTTGCAAACACAAGATTCGTATCCTTTTGATTTTGAGTCGGCCGTATCGCAGGATTTATAGATTGTGGCGGTAGTGCAGCTACCCATAAAAGTCTTGGACTCGGAGCCCGTCGAATATGCTTTGCGGCATGGATCAAAGGCTGGATCAGGTTGGAATGCGACTATTTCCATTGGTTCCACAGGGAAACACGTCTTTTTACTGGGAAAACATTTTTCCACATATTGTTCCATTTTTTCCAAGCACTGTATACGCTCCTCTTTATCCCTTGATATCGCCACCTTAGTTGGGGGCATTCGACCACAAGTTACGGCCGCCATGCAATCTTCATAGCTCAGTGGCATATCCTCCTGCTCGTCGTCTTCCTCCTCCCGCAGCATTGCCGTTAACTCACGAAACAGTTCCTGTATAACAGCCGTGCGATCCAGTCGACAATCGTTGGTGTCGTTCAATAAATTTATTATATTTGCTAAGCGGTCCCTTGGTACAGAGGGAAAGCATCTTTCAGACTCACAGCTTCGGAAACTGGACATTTGTTTGTCCGATGCGCACTCGCAATAGATATCCTGCTGCCTTTGGTTCTGGTGTTGATCGCAAGGAACAGTCCAATTGGGTTGTTCCGAACCGCACTCACAATAGTCGTCGTGCTGCTTCTGATGCTGTTGTTGGTATTTCTGCATTCCATGCTCTATCGCGCATTCAGATTGATAGACGCTATCTTGTTGCTGAACATGATCTTGACTGCAAGGAGGTTCAGGAGCACAATAATCACAATAGATGACATCCGGTTGTTGACAGGGCTCTTCCCATGACTGACCACAGGGTGGCTCTTCGTACTTTTTGGTTTTTGACTTTCGACCAGGTAAACAACAATCAAAAAGTCCGCAAGATTTTTTCGTCTCAATGACATGATCCGAAGTCGTTATACAAGACTTGGAGTCTTTGCTTGCCGATTGTTCATTAGGGGAAGAAGAGCATTTTGAGCATTTCTCTTGCTCAGCGTTTACGGCCGACATCGAAGGACCCAAAGACTTTGAGCAAACAGATCTTGATTGTGATTTTTGTTGGGCTCTACCATCCGCGCTCTGTGTATTTGCGCAAACACAGGATGGGTTCTTGCATACGGATGTGTCGGACGAGGAATTACAGTCTCGGAACTTGTCTCCGCAGTTCATAAACACAACCTTTGTGCTCTGAGATGCATTGCAGCTAGGTTCAGCTTTCTTATCCTGAATTCTTTTAAATGGTGGACCTTCGCGACCAGTCGGACATAGCTTCATCTTATCAATGGATGTGCACAAGCACGTGACGTTCGCCATGAAAGACTGCGAACGAGACGAGGTCTTGTCCGTGTAACCCATCGATGACTTCTGAGTACAAGGCGCTGCATTGTATTCCATCTTGGCGCTATTTCCTTTACCTTGGACAACTTTGCTACAATTAATTGACGTCGTTATGTGACTGGTGTCCACATTGAAATACCGTTCACTCTTCACACTTGTATCCATCAAATGGCTTGGTTTGCTTGCCTTAATTGGACAAATCGATTCCATTTCCAAGTAGTCTTCATTTGTTATATGTTGATTGGCAGAAGCTGATGCTGGACATGGTTTTGGTGGACATGGTGGTGGACACGGTGGTGGTGGGCATGGCTGCGGTGGTGGACATGATGCTGGTGGACTTGGTGGAGGTGGACATGGTGGTGGTGGGCATGGCGGCGGTGGTGCACATGATGCTGGTGCACTTGATGGAGGTGGACATGGTGGTGGTGGGCATGGCTGCGGTGGTGGACATGATGCTGGTGGACTTGGAGGAGGTGGAGGTGGACATGGTGGTGGTGGGCAGGGTGCTGGCGGACATGGCTGCTGATCGTCAGGCTCTTCATACTGTTGTTCACCAACCATCTCCTCCTGAAAGTCTGAACACTCTGGAACATTTTCGGATGGCGCTGAGCTCTGACAAACTGCTACTGGGCTTAGTTTTTCCTGCTCCTGGCTACCACATTCACAGCCTTGAGCTTTCGCAGCTTCAGATCTTTGTGGTCCTCCATCCCCAAAGGTTGACTGACAAGGACCGCTTTGATTTTCATCCTTAAGAGCAAAGATGCCCTTACTTCGATTATCGACCAGTTGACTGACGCCTGATGCGCAACTGTAGTAGCCAGCGATGATCTTCTGGGGACGAGAAGCGCTTGGTGGCATGCCTGCCTTATCCATTTTACACAGACAGGTCAGTTCACTTGAACTTGATTCTAGGACTTCCTCCTTCTGCTCACAGGAAGCTTCGACTGGGTCACCCATATTGGGCTGCATGTTTTCTAAAGTGCCAGCATTATCATTTTTATCGCACGCGCATGGTCGACTAGTTCCCTCATCTTTCATGGTTTCGTCCGTTTTGCGGCAACTCACGTCAGTTTCGAAGACTGTGTCCAAAGGGAAGTACCGACTCGAAGCGGCGAATTCTGATTCACCAATACATGGCAGCTGTCCACTCATTCGTCGGAGTGAATTGGTGAGATTGGGATCCATTTTGCGTGGACACTCCTCGACTCGATTCGCTGGGGCATTCAAATTGTCTGGCAGGACATACACATTGCTGGCATAGGTGGGTACAATGTCATTTTGAGTACCGCAGATCTGAGGCGGACGGTAGTTGTCAGGACAGCTTTCTTGAGGATTCGGAGGCTCAATCAGCTCATCTGTTTCGATGGTGTAGTAACTCGTTATTGGGCACTTGGATTCAAGTTTTGGAGGTGGAGCGGGAGGCAATTGCTCACAGGGAGACGGTGGACATACGCACGGCATGTGGCTTACAGATTTTGCAGCAGAGCCACAATACTTGAGCGCATCAAGTTTAGCTGCATTACTGCAGGTCGCGGACTCGATGGCTGTTGTGGAGGGTATACTGGGTTGCGTCTTGGAGATACCACATATGCTTGTTTGCTGGTATTGTGGGCGGGACTCGGGCAGGACCCTTTCCCTCCAATCATTGGCATCCTGAGTGGTCTTCGGCAAATTCTCTAGACACGAGGGCTGCAGATTTTGCTCCTGCTGATGTTCACGTTCATCATTATTGTCTATAATCCTGCATATGTATTGTGGGGAGGGATACTGAATTTGATCCAGGGCATTGAAATTTAAATTCAAGTCATGCGTCTGCGATGGCTGATCCTGTACAAAATTGCTACAGTGTGACTGCTTATAGTGTTCGTAAAGATAGGATGTGTTCGTCTGAGATGGCTTACTCCCTGCTGGGTAGTCCATTTCCGGCTGCGTGTGGGTTGACTGACAGGCGCATTGCCATTGGTTGTTAGCCCCGTGGGGATTATTTCTCAAATAGGATTTGTTGGTTTGAATGTCTTGGTTATTGTGGCAAACTCCTGGGTCGCGGTGCTCGTCCTGCATATACATCAGAGCTGGGCAGTCTGAAAAAAATAAATAAAAGAGAAGAGTCGTTAGATTGCCGTTGGACATGATTTGCACATTTTATTCTGATGGGAAAGAACATTAAATTTAGAAATTAGAAAGCCATGGAACAAGGAACTGATTGAGCGACGAAGCAGGGCTTGCGATAAGGTTGAGAAAGTCTATGATTGGTGGGCTTGCGGCGGTATCTTAAGCTCCTTTATCTCAGAGAGCAGAACCTCGCGACCGCGCGTTGAATTTGGATCACTCCACATTTCCTTGTCGTACAACTCGAGAAACTTGGCCTCAGCCTTCTCCCGACAAGGACAAAAGTCAAAGTAGGATGTCTGACTGCAAGCGTCGCGCTCGTCAAAGTTTGAGAAGATGGTTCCACGCTGCACGCATCGGCAGACCTTCACATTGACGCGTTCACGATTGTCGTCTATAGTACGTTGCTTCCAGGGACACTGACAGCATCCACAATTTCCTGGGCAAAACACATTGCCGTCCTCGTCCATAATGGGGCTCGGATCGAAGCGGCACGGGGAGCAGTTCGAGAACTCCTTATGCTGAGGTAGCGCCAAAAAATACTTTTTCAGTTGCCCCTCTATTTTGGAGGGGACTGGCGACTTCTCGAGTAGCGGTGTCAAAGTCTTGGATTCAACTGGTCCTGGTTCGGATCGAGGCGCTGTTACAGGTACCACAGGTATCGGCTCTTTTACGGGCTCTGTTGCGGGCTTTTGTTCGGAGCTTGGTATGGGCATTCCTAAGGGCAGGGGAACAAGCTCCGTATCGGAGCTTGATGTTGACTCTGGCACTGGCGGGGGTGTTGGAGCAGGTGCTGGAGCAGGTGCCGGAGCAGGTATTGGGAGGGGTGCTGGCACGGGGGCCGGTTGGTGTGCGTGACATGTGGATACCGGGCAACTGAAATCTTTGGGGATACAACAAGAGCCCTTAAATAAAATGTCACAATCTTCAGCTTCCGAAGCATCTTTAAAGCTGAAACATGATATTTTACAGGGAACCCTACCTTTAGACGCATTCTTCGAACACACCGACATTTGCGACTTGTCAACTGGTTGGGATGGACCACATGTGACCATTTGGCCCGAGCATGGATCGAACCTCAACGGCATTTGCACTGTAACTGGCCTGCCCTGCAGACATTTTGAGGCGTTTGGCCTCGGATCGGTCAGTAGACGCGCTGTTATCTCCAGGGTGGCATTGCATTGACGTTTACTATCGCCCTGATTCCTCTCAAAGTTCTTGAGCAGCATTTGTGTCACATTCTCGGCACGTCTGAGGGCAGCCCGCACAGCCTCCGGATCATCATATTTGCTAGTGCCGGATGCCTGGCCACTGCACGTGGACTTACAGCTTACGGGCTTAGTCTGTTCGTTGTTAGCCGGTTTCGATCTGCAGCTATCAATATTCTTGCAGCTGTGACCCTCTCGAGGAAAGTCGGTGTCGCTGATGCTCAGGCAATCGAAGAAAATATCCTCGTCGCTGCGATGGGCCTGAAAATTGGGGCCCCGATACAGCACTTGGGTGGAGGGATTTCCCTGCTTCTGTCGCTGGCTGCGCAAGTGAATGCAGGTTTCTGGTTTTTTACATCGCCGTACGGCAGGTGATGTCTTCTTATCAGTAATTGTTCTATTTCTGTCCTTGTCCATGGCTAAATGGACCAAAGCACCAAATGTATTCCAACTATTATATGAATTTACATAAAATTTGTTCTACGATGTTGCTCCTTGAAAGAATTTAAATTAACTGGCCTACAAATTGAATTGTCAGGCCCAGCAACAATGCCGCTGCCTACTATATTCGACTTTCAAATATAGACATTTCTTTTATTTCACTTTTTATTCTATCAAAATCAGTTCAAATATTAGCACTATCCAAAACTTAGTATCCATAGATGAGAAATTCGAAAGTAAAGACGCACGCATGTTCACATCACTCGTTTGCAGACAATCATATGACATCGTTACTCGTTTTCATGGTTGACAAATACGGCGCTTCCCTCAGTTCTAGTGAGCAACTCCACATGTTGTTTACTCCTTCACTTTCCCAAGCTGAATGCCCCAGCGCCCGCTCTAATTGGGTGTAGGCAACCATAGGCAGCTGCTACTTGACGGCGTTTCACGGCAAATACTGAGCTGCCTATGCATCCCAGCGTACTCTCCTCACGGCCTTCCGGGCGGTTCCGGTACGATACGATTGCCGGCGCATACAATTTTGAGGTGGGCCACAAGCCCGCCTGTCACCAGCGCCTGCGCCCGCTCCCGCTCCCACGCAACCGCCCCCGCCCCCACCAGGGCTAACAGCTGCGCATTCGCAGGGATGAGCCAATGTATTGGGTGCCGGCTTAAATATGTTGACCTTGACCTGGCCGCTGTGTGGTTCCAGCTCCATGGGGAGGCTGAGAGTGACCGGACTGCCGCGCAGTATGCACTGGCAATGCGGGGGCACGCCGCATGAAGGCTCCGTGTGCACTCGCGCGCTTATCTCGAGCGTTGCGGGATAAAAGAACTTGCATGTAGACGGCGGCTCCTCGATCTCGGTGCACTCGCAGTGAACGCCCAGGCCGCGCAGTAATATTTGCGTATTTTGTGCGGCGCGTCTTATGATGCTCCGCATATCCATGGGCGCCTTGCGTTGCTGAGGCTCCTCCTGCGGAAAGTCGCCTTGGCAGGCCTTCAATATGCCCGCCTTATGTGCACACTCGCGATCGCAGTCACTCTCACTGCGACAGTCATGAAAGATGTCATCCATGGTAGGTTAAAATTTTGTTTGATTTTGTTTTAAATTTTTTTGCTTTGCTTTTTTATTGCCTTAGTCAAACATGCACACACAATTTAGAGAATACAATGATACTATATAATGGGGAATTATTTTTGAAGTCTAATCCCAGTTTTTGTACAAATAAAAACAGTCAACTGAACGATTAAGGTCAGAAAGAAAAAACTCGCACCGCCAGCTAAGCTGGCGATAGGTCCGATGAATTTGCTAATCACATTTCCTCGCCAAAATTCAAGGTATTGTGCCGTTCCACCGGATAGTAGATAGTGCAATAGAACTCCGATTCCACTTTGTGGTTGTGAAAATTGATCAAGCGCTCATTAATGCGCTCCTCCAGCTGCTGCAGCAAGCGCGAATTGCCGGGCTTCAGGGCGAATTTCAGGGCACGCACGCAGCCCAGCACCGCGACAAACACGTCGTAGCTCTCATAGAGATGGGCTGCCTGCGCCTGGTCAGTGCAGAGATTCTGCAAGAGCTCGATGTGCTCGCGGAACTCCTCGCTGCCTTCCCACAGCTGCAGCACCCGCGCCCTGAACCTGTCGCTGTCGCTCTCACACTTGATGCACTCCTGCAGCAGCAGCAGGAATGCGCGCGTTCGGCTCGGCAGCAGCAACAGGCGCGCCTCCACCCCAACGTTCTCTGCCTGGATGCCGCAGTCCTGGGTGCTGCAGCTGTCCGTCTGCAACTGCTCGTCGCATATCGAGGGCGCCACCTGTACCCACCGACTGTGCCGCCCGACGGGCTCCGTCTGCACCAAGGTATTCAGTTGGGCACGATCCCACTCGCTATCGACCACCTTCACGTACTGCGTGCGTGTCGTGTGCCGGGATCGATCCGAGTGTGCCGTATGGGCAGAGGCAGCCGAATGGAAACTGCAAAGGGAATTCGTCTCGCCGACATCCATGTAAATTGGACGACACGTGGCGCCGCAGCGTCGCACGCGACTGTGAAACTGGTAGCGACTATTGAAGCGCTTGCACTGCTTTCGCTTGTGAAGCAGATACTTCCGCTCCCTAAACACATTCATCGGATTCTTGCCTTTGTCCAACTGGCACACTTTGATGGGCATCTCACTTGGTTCTTGCTTTGGCGGCTCGTCAACGCGGGCTAGACTAAGGCAGTCCCCAATTGACAGACCGCCCCCCTCTGTGCGCCGTGAATCGCGGAAACCGGGTAAACTGGGCCTGCTGGGTCTACTGCCTCGACTGCCTCGACTGGCTCGACTGCTTATACTGATCTTACTGCTACGGCTTAAAACCTGGCCCGGCTTTTTACCGGACGGTTTTGGCTTAGACTCTGACTCATTTTCAGCGTTTTCTACATCAACAATTGTAACTTCAAAGGTTTTGCATATTTTCGGCGGAGGCAGGGGCTCATCGTCCGGACATTGACATTCACTCACCGGCTTCTGGGCGTGGAGAATAGTGTCCGCCAGCTGCTTCACAGTGCAAGCGATGGTCTGAAAGTCCTTGTGCGTGGGTAGCTCGCGCTCTCGGCGCTACGAGGGAATGGGAGAAAAGAAAAGAAAGAAAATTCAAAGTCAGCTCATCTTTGTATCAATTGAAAATAAGAAGAACGTCACCCACCTCCAAATCTCTTAGAGCACAGCCAAGACCTTGACTGGCCGCCTCCAAATTGTCGATCTCTCCTCGCTTCATTGGGCTGTCGAAGAGCTCGTGGGCTAGGCTAGAGCCCTCGGGGCAGACCCCAAGCTTCTTTTCCATGCGCTGGATCAGCTCATCCTTGGTACGCAGCTCATCCTCCAGACAGCAAGCGTGCTCCGAGCACGCCTTCAGCTGCTGCTCCATTTCGGCGATTTTGGACTCAAGCGTATTCACCTCTTCCCTGAGCTCCCCATTGGTCACCTCGAGGTGCATGAGGTTCTTCTTTAGGTCGTAGATCTGCTGGCGCAGGCAATCCGTTTCCGCTTTCAGTTGCTCCTCCATGCTCTGGTGCAGCTTCTTGGCAAAGTTCAGATCCTCGGCCAGGGTTTGACAACGTCGTCTCTCGCTTTCCAGCTCATTGGCCAGCGGCTGTTGCTTCTCCGCATCTGCGGCATGACTGTCGACCTCCTTTTCCAGCGCCAGCTTCTGCTCCATCAGGTCACGATGCTCCTTGGTTAGGCGCACCAGGCACGCCTTCAGCCCAAGCTCCGCTTCCTCCAGCTGCTGTATCTTCTCAGCAGCAGCGCGCGAGTCATCGCGCAGGCAATCTTGCAGCTGGTTGATCTTCTGCTTCAAGCACATCTCTTTGGTACGGTAAGCCTCCTCTCTCGCTTTATATTCGCGCTCCAGATCGACCCAGTGCGAGTCGGCGGTCTCCATGGCCTCGTAGTGTTGCGTATTTAGCGCGTTGAGCGAACAACGCAAAGTCTTGACCTCTTCCTTAAGATAGCTAATCTCACGTGCGGCAGCAGCATCCATCGGGGCATTCGTGCTGTTGCATATGTTATTGTTGTTATTGTTGCTGTTATTACTATTCATCATCATCTTGTTGCAGTTCTTTTTGATCATCTGATTGACTTTACTGGACGGGCAGGGCCCACAGCCCGATGGGCTGGCACCAGCGGTCGCCCGCTCTGGCAGAGACTGCTCATTGCCCATGTTGGTGCTACCACCACCGCTAATCCTAGCCAGCTGCAGCAGTCGGTAGAAGAGCAGCAGAGGCAGTGAACGATTCAAACTCTCCAACTGTTGCTTCACCCGCTGTCGCTCCGCCTGCAAATGCTCCAGCTGCCTCTCGGCTGCACACAGATCGTCGCGCAGGATTAGGCACTCGGCACGGCAGTCCCGGTATTTGGCGGCCAACGCGTCTTTGCTGAACTCTAGCTCCACGTTACGTTGTCGCAGTATTTCGAGCTCCTCCTCGTTGCGCTGCAAATGGAAGCGTGTATCGTTCTCGGCTTCCTCGAACTCACACTTCGCCTCATCCAGCAGAGCGTTCTGCTCGAGAAGCTGCTCCACGCGCTCGCTCAGCTCCTTCACCTGCTTGTTTAGCTGCAGCTCGCGCTGCAAGCGCTCTGCCAAGTGTTTGGCCTGAGTCTCGCCGCTGCTCTCATAGACGAGCAGCTTGCTCTCCAGCTGGATGAGCCGCTCCTGATAGTACTGCAGGTGAGGGTGTTCCGCTATTGAGGACGCTGTCGAGAGATCGCATTCGACAAAGACGCCGCTCTCGCTGAGGCTGCTGTTCTGCAGTCTGTGCAGCTGCTTGTTGGGCGTCGCCGGAGCTGTGGGAGTGGCACTGTTGCTGTACGGCTGGACGGTGGCTACGATCCGACTGTGCCTCGTCCGTGGTTCCGCCTTCGTCTGCAAGAGCAAGAAGCCGCACTTGAATTTATGTTCTAGAAATGTTTATGTGTGGTTATTGATTTTCTTAAGGATTAAAAAACTGTCTGCCTCTGCTGGGGTCAAAATATAAATCTCGATCACTCAAAATCAAAAAATTCCTAACTACTGACTGACTTCTGACTACATCTAAACACACACACACCGACACAGACAGACACACCTTCTACACTCATACTCAATTTGTACATTTCGTTTAGAGTATATACGCACCGTTGACTGCCAGCTCTCCTGCTCCACGACCGCATCTAGATCGAGCTGCTGCACGCACAGCAGCAACTGTTGCAAGCAACGCTTGTCCTTCTCCTCCAACTGCTGTGAAGTCTTGCGTAATAAACTCTCCAGGCGCTGGCAATGATCCGCACATGTGCCATCCATCTGGAAATAATGGAAGAGCATCACATGAGTATGAAACTTGATCGAATGATTCTTGTGGATAATTAGTAAACTATTTTACTTAAAGGTAGAGTAAATAATAACATATATAATTATAATCTTTACTATGATTGTATATTATATAAATAGTAATAAATATAAACAAATTTGTATTATTTACAGCAATATCAATAGCAATCATAGCATCAATATTTTTGTTATTCCTAAATAGTCACGAGTTAATAACAATAACAACAAAGCTCTATTACTTCTAAACATTTCTCATTTCGTTCTCAACTGCTTGGGGCTTGAGTGTGTCATATGGAACAGTTCAACGTAAACCTTTGAGCGAAATACAAATAGAGTCCAATCTATGTTTTGTGTTTGTCACTACGCGAATGAGTCATGCAGACAGAAATCACTTTAAAAGGAGCACTGAGCGTGTAATGCACACCTGGATTTCTCGTTTAAACGTGCAAAATGGATTTGTTTATACAGCTGTGTTGCTCTAAATAGCTTCAGACTACCTATCGTGCTTACAGACTAGACTCTTTTTGTTATATAATCATTTTAAGCTGCTGCAATAACAAAGAATTTTAGCTAAAACACTTAACAAATTTAATTGCCTTTACTTTTCAAATATCAATTATTTAATTTGATATTTTTATTATACATAATTTTAGTTCATTGAGAAACTAATTTTACATTTTAAAATTTTATATTTACTAAATATTATTTATTTATTTTTATAATTTTTTGTTGTGCTCAAATTCGGATATTTTGTATCATTTGTTATTATTCAATAATGTAATATTCGGTTCATAAATTATGATTTCTTTTGTTTATTTCTTGAAATAGTTTTCTAGAAATTTTAAATAAAGGTGAAATTTCAACAATATTATAGCGGACTCTGAAAATTGTTTTAATTGTAATACGAGCAACGGCTTCAATTAGCATTCGCTTAATGCACCACTGATTAACGATGCTTCTGAAGTTATTTTCACTTTACTGGCAAGCCTACTCACTGAACTAAGCTGCCATTTAAGTATATATACTCATATTTATATATGTACATATAGAGTAATTAGCTTTTGTTATTGCAATTAAGCAAACGAATTAGATTTTCAAGCTGAACGGCTTCACAGCTCTGTCGTTCGGCTCTAGAAACTCAAAGCAACAATACACAAAACCCGAAAGAAGGTGTGTAACAAAGTCGTGAGTAATATGGACTCTATATACCTACATATATCTATGCATATATATTCACAAATAATGTTTGACACATGCCTGAAGAGCAGACCCTTATATAAACAAACAAAGACAACAGCAATTTTGAACTTGGCCAAAAATGAAAAACACAAAATAAAGCATCTCATCATAGCCTTTTAGGCAACTGATGTGGGCTTCAAGTTGTTTCTCAACTCGTAAAGAAATCAAATATATAAATAGTTGTATTTATTGGATAGTTGAGCTGCGTGCATATAAGGCAATCAATCTTAACGTTTGGTCAACACTCGCCAATTGCTGCACTCGCTTTTGGTTTATATAAAAATCCCATCATAATTATTATTGTGCGAATGCTCATTGTTATTGTCATTATTATTATTATCACAATTACAATAAATGTGTTTGCTCTAGTAAAAATTTATCCAGTTTTTAATCGCAATTACCGTTGTCCGTTGTCTGTTGTCCGTTAATCAAAATAATTTCCGCACTCTATAAGACGCCAAACAAAACTAAACCATTGTTAAGGCACGAAGCTAGCTGCTGAAGTCGCTCAGCCAGCAGCTGTAGTTGAGAGATATAAACACACTCACACACACGCACACATACACGTACACACACTCTCTCAATGCTCACTCAATTCATTCATAAAACTCGTGCAGTCTTTTGAGTCACTGTGAGTGTTTGAGTGAGTTTTGCGTAAACTGGCTTCTGAGTGTTTTTTAATGCATTCAATAAACTCGTTCGGCATACTCGAGTTGCTCTTTCGAGTGCTTACTGATATAATATTTGGATCTGGTTAAGAGACGTTATCATGTATATCACATTGGATAAAATTTTGATTACATATAATAGTTGATGTACTAGATATATAGTACATATGTACTATATATACATATCTCTAAAGAGTGTTCTTAAAATTGCATTCCTACAGGCTGTTTACAGCGCTTTTTAGTATATTTTATAACACAACTTCCATAAAAGCTACCAATAGAAAAATATTCCCACAAATTAAATGCATTAAATGCCTTAAAAATCTCTATCTATATCAAGCTGATTAGCTCACTTATATTAAATATATTTATTATCTAATGTCACAGATTAGTCATTGATTCCAGATCTTCCCAGTTAATTATATATATCTGATATCTTTTATACGACTATTTCTCTAATTGTTTTCCTTTTCTGTTTACCTTATCATCCTCTAGTTCGAGTATCCGAAACTCGAGCAGCTCATTCTGTTCGCGCAGCTCGTTGGCCTCCGTGTTTAGCTGCAGTTGCTCCTCCTCCATGTCCTTGATCCGTTGCAGAAGCTCATTGATATGCGTGTGATTATTGCTAGCCGACAGCGCGGCCTTCTCAGCTGTTAGCAATTCCTGTTTGATCAGCTGCAATTCGGTCTGCAGACGCTCGTTTTCTTTGTGGTAGATCTCGACTTCCTTTTGCAACTTGTCCAAGTCCTGCAGCTGTAAGGCATTGACATTTAATATCTGTATGTGTGTATGTGCAATGTGCAAATAGATAAGCAGCTGAGGCAGCTGCCAAGGTACTCACTGCTTGCCACATGACGCCGCTATCGGCGCCACTGGACGGCGGCTGTGGACTGATCGAGGGCGGCGCCGAGGACAAGGCTGAGTCCGTATCCGAGTTGTGATCCTGCAAAATTCAAGACCGTTTTAATACAGTTATATACGTCTATACACAATCAGCAAAATATTTTAATGTAATATATACAGAGAATCTATTGATTCCTGATTGATCGATTGATTTCTCAACTCTTTCTCAAGGTCAGTGTCGCAATACCTTTACCTAAACATCTTTAATTTAATTAAATATAATAAATATCTTTGATATTGAAAACTATAATAAATATAAGTAAATTACTTAGGCAAAAAATAATAATAATAATGAAAACAAACTCTTCATTCCGCCTTGGAAACTACTTAAAGTCAAATATTTTATTTTTAAATTAGATAATATGCTTACAAATTTACACTCACAGGTGGATTATGAATGAAACTCTAAGTTAAATAAAAGGAATACAATTTGAGAAGAAAGAAGAAAACTAATTTAATTTGTATTTAATTGTGGATCAACTCATTTTTCGTCTCTGGCTGGGGATTTATAAATTTGTATTTAATTGAGCTTGACATTTTCTCACCTTTGTTCTGTCTTCCATTGTTGCTGCCTTTGAGGGCAGCGTTTCCATCCATGTTGTCGTTGTCGTTGTCGTGGTTCCCTTTCCAGTCATGATTTGTTGATGACTCATCTGTTGCTGTTGCATTTGTTGTTGATTTGTTGTTTTTGTTGTACGCATCTCGGGCTTTAATTTATGCGCATTCTTCGTGTTATTGATTAGCTCAATATTCTTGAGTTGGGTTATCTAAAGAGACGAATATGAATGGAAAGGGAAAATGAGATGCCGTCTTTCTAAAAGATGTCCCAGTTAAAAAGAATAAATATAAGAGATTGTCGGGCGTGACTTTTGACATAATACTCCTCCACGATCTCAAGAACATATCAATTTATATTTACCACTCCCTGCCACTAAACTATGGATGACGGTTTTTTAAGATTCACTATTCCCGAAGTAAATCTATAGTCTGTAGAACCAACCGAAAGTAACCTAAAGACAAAATGTTCGCGATTTGCCGCGCCCTAAAGCTTCAATACAATAAATTTCTAGTTTCAATGGAGCCGTTAAAAATTGGCTTTATCTACAGCACCAATATACCCTCAATTCATTTTGCGAACGAGTATGAGAAGCGTGCAACATGTTGCTGTCATCGCATACAGTTATCACTTGATTTCGTGCCCCCGAAATATGAAACGAAATTGCCAATTCATTGTTATAGAAGGTTTACAGCTTGATACATTTAAACGCCAACAGCAGGTCGTTGACCCCTCCAAGAGCGATGCCGAAGGCAAGAGATCTATAGAACACTCGGACAGACCCAGGCACATCTAGAACTTATTGTTATGCCCAGCGTATTGTTCGGGGCAAGCAGCATAAAAATAGGCACAGACAGACAAAAGTCTGTCGCTGCTCTTCAAAGGATTGGATTGTAAACTATTTGGCTTTGGACATCAACCAAATAATTTTAACAAATAGTTTTTACCTCAATTGCTAATGTGCTTCCATTATCTGTGCGTTTAACGCATTGTATTCAATTTTTGAGAAAATTTTCTTTATTTAAAGAGATTTGTATATAGAAGTATATAAAATATATTTACGGAATATATATGGAATATATAATCGTGGGTACTATCATGGTTAAATCTTTCTCGATAGCAACTAGGTAAATGCTTCTACAGTTTATTTATAAGAAACTGCATATTTTGTAGATATATCAAAAGATGTAATTAAATACCTATTTGGTGAGGGACAAATTGGAAAAATCTTCCAAAACCTTGGTGATAACTGCAAAGCTAATAAACTTTGGACAGCTTTGCAAAATTTTAAATATTTTACATTTTTTTTAACCATGAGTGCAGTTTGTCGATTGTTCAAATTAAATTGTTGAATTTACAAATTTACAAATATTTGCTTTATTTATTTATTTTTGCTAAAGCCCACTGTACCTGTCCAAGCAACTATATTTTACAGTTGTACCTATGTATGTGACTGTGTCCGTGTGGATATATAGCTATCCATTACAACTAAATGTATGTGTGTGTATGAGTATATCGTGATTCCTTGAAATCAGCAGCTACACGCATATTTAGGCACTTTTATAGCCAAACATTTGGTGCACAATCACGCTATATAAATACATATATAATGACTATATATGTATATGTATATAAACACATACACTATATATATTCGTATACACCATTCACTGTTTATCTTTGGAGCATGTCACGAATTTCACGGTCACGAATCGTGTTGGCCAAAGCAAAAGCAAAGAGCCCGACTCCTAGAGAGCCTCAGCATGCATACATATATAAATATACAATACTATTCGCTCGGACAGGCTAATTGACCCCACAAAAGTAATAAAAAAATTTGAAGTCACTTTCGAATC